TGATGCCTTCAAAGAAAACCATAAATGTATTTGGGGTTTGATAATGTTTTCAGGATATTTTGCATGTTAGAGGTTAGTACAGTATAAGGAAAATAATAAGTAACATTTCATACAAAAATTATGCAGCTTTTTCATCAACCTTCAACGATGTTACCAAGTCACTTTAAAGCTTTGAGAAAGCGAAATCGATACAAAGTGGCTGTCGATGTGAGTTGAAATGAATTATTATAACAAGGCATCTAATGCAAAAAAAGTTTCCACGGGGCTTGTCCGGGAATCGAACCCGGGGCCTCTCGCACCCAAAGCGAGAATCATGCCACTAGACCAACAAGCCTTACTTGATCCCTGACGGTGACATTGTGCACCTAATTCTATCATTATTATATAGGTTTCTATTTGGTTACAATAACAAAGTTACACAATAGTCTATGGCATAATAGTAAATAAATTTTTTTTAAATCAATCTCAATTAGGATTTAATATCAAAGTATACGTAAATAGAGTGCAGAACGCGAGAAAAAGAAGGGGGAAAAAAAAAAATTACGTGGGGCTCGTCCGGGAGTCGAACCCGGGACCTCTCGCACCCTAAGCGAGAATCATGCCACTAGACCAACGAACCTTAGTTGATCGATCTGAAGAAATATAACGTAAGATACATTAGATACGATTCCGGTACAAAGTACGTACGCCGCATGGTAGACGCGCGCGGACGCTCTGATCTAGTCTACAAGCACAGACCCTGGTTAGTCGTAAAAGAGAGTCTGCACTATAAGACTACCATAGGCCATGTACTAAAGCTGCTCACACAACCAGTAAATATTCTAAAAAAGAATGAAACGCCGATAATACCAAACAACAACAACAACAACAGTAGGTAGCTGGGCTAGGCTTCTCGCAAGGCACAATGATTTTTTGATAAAATGTCAAATTAGGGTCTGTGCTTGCAGACTAGCTCTAATCCGTGGCCACGTAAACAAGATCCAATGGACTTGAAGTCTAAGCTGCTTTAAATGGATTCCTATATTAGGGAGTGATCACGTGATTACAATACAATTCATAAACACTATTATCTTAAATTTATAAAGCATGTTAATATTTGTTAATGTAGGTCTATACAAAATATTCGTCAAGACATAGGTTTATGTGAGCGAATCGCATGAATTGTATATGCACTTGAACTTAATTCTGCTATAATAATACTTATAGATATAATATGCTCAAGACTATAACACGTTCTTACAGAGCGATTAAATCACTCAAAATTGAAATAAAAACCGGTTAGTCAAGTCGAACACCCACCCTCTATCTTGCCTTTGTCTCTCAAACTGACTGACACCCTCTCTCTCCAAACCTCTCCGTGTCTATCTTCCCATCTCTGACTATATAATAGATATAATACATATCAATTCCTTCGCGCTCCTTTTGGGAGATCAACCGACCCGCGCGCATTTTATATTACATGACATATGGTAAAATTCTCGACATCTTTTTACACTTTTCTTTACCATTAAAAATCGAAATTGAGAATAATATCCTCAATCGAGATATGAGAAGAAGGAAACATTTCCTTTACATTCCATGTAAAACCATGCCCTTACTTGAAAAAAAACCTCCGTCACTTTGACGTTGAACTTTACAATCCATTTAAAAAAAATTACTCTCTCATACACAATGTCAATGGATCGGTCGTACTGTGCTCGATTGCCTTTCAATAAACCAATCTTTAACTTTGCAGCAACGCGTTTTGCGTCAAATTTGTAAATCCTCAATCACAGACAATGACATATGATACGTAAGCTTTTCATACATATAAATTTCATTTTGATTGATTCATTTTTAGCTCCGTCATTTTTCATGTTAAATCATGCTTCATGTCCCATTTTAGAAGCCCGACCCAGGGTTTTGTGCCAGCTAGCCGTATGCATGTACGTAATGCTATGCATACACATAACTGAACATGCATAAGTACAGTACATGTACACACGCAGCGCAGCGCGTACGAGCGCACTGCACTACATTTGATTGGGTCAGTACCATTATGAAAATAGGGTAACAATGAGTGGGATGGGTTTAGTGCCGTCACAATAAACTTGCGCATTACACGCGTACGTATAATTAGAGCAATTTATGCACCCCCAAGAAATAATGAATACAGCCCGACCTCTCTACACAGTACAGAACTGCACAGATACCGCACAGTCCGGTCAAGGCGGTACGCGTAGCGTTAAACTGCCAAATTTACAGAAATTGTGAGGAGCGCTTTTGCTATGAAAGGAATTGATATGTTGCAGTGTGCCACGGCAAACCATGGACCCTTCTGCAAACCTATCACTGTGCCCCCCCCCCCCCCCCACTCAAGTGTTATTTAGGGTATGCGTATGCATGTTCCCTACTTTTGAAAACACCCTTGATAACATAAAAATAAAAATTGAAAGAGCCTCGAGAAATCGATACAACGTAACTATGTCAATGTAAGTGAAATTTAAATGAATTATTATGGCACAAAAATGCTACCGCGGGGCTTGTCCGGGAATCGAACCCGGGCCTCTCGCACCCAAAGCGAGAATCATGCCACTAGACCAACAAGCCTCTCTTGGTGCAATCGGTGACATTATGAACCTGATTCCGTATCAGCTGACAACTGCAGCACAGTTTTGTTCCTGGTGGAAAGCCTGGATTTCCTCTTATCTTTTGTAGAATGACTAACAAAACTGAAAATACGTATTGTCAGCTCTGTGTATAAACACTACTTGTTGATGGAAGTAGCAATCCTCTCCTGTAATTATCTTGCTCGGAATTAATAAAGTGACAATACACCCTATTATATTTAGTTTTTGTTTTAATAGAACCAGACAAAATTAATGGGAGAAACAGATCAGTGAAAGTTTTTAGCAAAATCCCCCCCCCCCCCCCAAAAGTAGAATGTTATGAACTTTTATAATTGTATTTTATGTTGCGAGGTCCTCTCCATTTGGCTCTGTACATACATTTCATCAATTATAATTTTCTGAGTTATTGATGCCAGAATAGATTTTTTTCTTCTTCATACAGGTTGTATAGAAACATGTTGGGTAGCCATTTAAACATGGATATATAGAGAGTGACAAATATCACGAAATGTATTGCCAAAAATATTAATGAATGTATTGCTGTATATAATGTATATAAACTTTCTATTGCCTGGTTTGTGAGCGCGCAAATTTTGACATGTATTAGAGTAAAACAAAATATGCTAATAACTACATTTTCGGGGGGGGGGGGGGGGGCTTTCGCCCAGTTCCATCCTCGCTCCTTTATTTAGATCAAATCTCAAAAGAATTAGAACTATCATATCAATAAAGTTCAACCGGGGGGGGGGGGGGGGTACGGGAACGATTGGCAATCTGCGATAATTTCTTTTTCCTTCCCTTTTATTTGTTTATCATCACATTTTAGTTTTTCCTTTTTGAGTAGGGAGTGGGGGGGGGGCACTGCTTTTGATACTACATGTACTTGGATCAGTTTCCTTCATTTTCTGTTGCATTTGAAATCTTATACCATGCACATCCATTGTAAACGTGTAGATGCCTTTCCCAAAATTGACTCTGTCTCTCACGAATAAAATACATTCTTATCAATTTGAAAGCATTTTATTCGAATGGGGCCTTTTAGAAAGTGTTTTCTTTACTTTATTCATGTTATTCTTTTCTTTTTCGACTTTCTTCTTTCTTCAGACGAGCCCCCAACTTCTCTGACAACACGATTCTCCTTTGAGTCTCCATTATACATATGCTAAAATGTTTTAAAACATAATATACTCAAACTTTGAAGAGTATTTAATTGCAAAAATAATGTTTTCTGTCAGTGTAGGTGCTCAGCTTGATAATAATATGCTTTAATGTACCCAGAGAAGAGCTCGTGTGTCGACATTGCTCTTTGAAACAAAATAATTGATGATAAATAATTCATTTCTACTTAAACGCCCTGTATTTTGAAAACCAGCACAAACAGGCATTACAAAAGTATTATTGAAAGTTTCCAAGTGTGTATAAACTTGGATTTGTTATAATTATACTTTACCAGTCCAGCAGGGCAGCGATTTTTAGGTTTGCAACGTTGTTCTTTAATTAGCAACTTAAACACAAAATATCTATTTGATTAATTTGGTACCAATGCCAAGATCTGATTCAACTATTATGTTAGAAATAACTAAATATAAACATACATGTACTATACAAAATCCAATGGACTTTACTTCCAGTCTTCTGCAATGGGATAGGGTTTCTCAGTACCCATCAAGTATTTCTGACACTGAGTTCTATCAATGAGTTGATTACATCTGCTCTTTTCAGATTTTTTTTTCTTAAATAATAAACTTTTGGCTGATGGATTTAACGGTCACAAATGAGTTGTTAATATGAATGAACATAATGATTTTGCTTACATGCACATTATAAATATAAAGAGTTTGGTTGCGGGAGCCGATAGATCAAATAATTGTAATATTGAGATATATAGCAATTAAATTAGCAGTTACTTAAAGAATAATATTAATAAGACATATGAATTCTTTCTTTTTTAGAAATAATTATTTTATGGACGTTATGGGCGGGGTGTCTTTTGAGTCATTAATTTTTTGTGTGCATTATACGATGCCTTACCTTAAAATGTTTAAAGGATATGGCATTTATCATTTTTCATAAATGCACTATATCCATACATAAATATAAGCACTGTTGATGTTGATTATTGACCTTATATCTCAAAGTTTGGCTGCCAGTGACCAAGCTGATAACTGTGCTTGTTATCATTAATTTTTCATTTTTTTAAAGTTACTATTATTCTACTATTTCGAGATTACTGTTGTCGGCAAATTCTTAAAATTGCGATCTTGTCACCATCGTTATTTGTGTTGTTTACTCACAATACCCCCACGTGGGCGATTAAGTCAATAAAACATAAACATAAACATTAAAATAAACATATTTCGAGCTCATCTTCATTTGCGCATGCGTGCTCCCCATTCAGCTAGATTGTTTGAATTGTAGACGGTAAGACTAGTGACACAAAGACGACGTTAAATATCGCCGTCCTGTGTTTTCCGGACCGTACCGGGGATACCTTCATGAACTGATATGTAGATGAATGTGTAAGTGATATATATTTTACAATCATTTTTAAATTTTACATAATATCCCGAATCGACAGTTTCAAGGGTTATTTCGGGTCTTTTCGACTAAATCGTACGGTACCGCCACCGCTACGGTAGCCGGTAGTTGAGGGTGTCGGAACAGCTCGACAGCTGACAGCTCGACAGCAGAAAGGCCGGCCAGGTTGTGTACTTGGGGCGGTATTCTGAAAACCTGAAATTGGTATTGACGATTGTGTATCGGTAACTTTTACGTTATCTTCTATGACTTTGTTAGGTAATTCTCCGTACCAGAGTTAAGTACCAGGATTAATCATTACCAGAGAGATTAGAGCTTTGCTTGCTTTTAGTTTAGCTTTGTGCATGTCGTGAGAGGTAAACTGTTTTTTAACATTTTGTCATTTTTGTGTGTTAAAACAATAAATGAATGCAATTTTCAGATATAGAGACTAGACCTTGAGTCTACCATACATTATTCCAGACCTGCATTTCACATCTCCACCACTCTACTCTCTAGACTAGGCTATAATTGTATTTTCCTACGGTACAACGTATACGGTAGGCCCTAGCAGGAAAATGTTGTATAGACCTCTACTACTAGACCTATGCGGATCCTTTTAATGATTACGTAATAGCGGTGGGGTGAGAGGCCACGATCCCGCAAGGCGGGATGGTCTTAATAACTTAGGCAGGTGAATGTTATTGTATTGAATTGAGAGGGAAAGGATTCCAAGAATGTTCAGAAAGGCATAATAGAGAGGAAAATGGGTGTGGTAGTCATCCTACATGTAGCTTTGGGAGACACCAGATCCATGGCATGACACAAATTTCAATTGAAAATTTTAAGAAAGAACAATAGTTTGGTGTTTTGTTGATGGTATAAAGATATAGTAGATAATTTTTATTTGGATGATTTGCCATGCTAGGTTTTTCCAGAGCATTTGCCTTCTTTAGTTTATCTCTGTTTTTTTCAACCTAGGGAATCGGTCCGAGCATGGGGCAAAAAGGGAAAGCCCCATACAGGTCTCAGATTAAAGCAGATCAATTCATCTGATGTTCAAAACATTTATTATATGGCATTATGTAACAAGATTGTTCAAGAAGATACAACTCGAATAAAAGCCGGCTCTGCCGGTCTGGCAGGCTTCCCCATAAATATTGATATTGATGTAATCTGTGAGTCATTAACTGAGTATTGTATTGAATGAGAAATGAAGGATGAGAATATAATTGTAAAAAGTAATTGATAAAAAAAAATGTATAAGTTATATAAATAATTGATAACTGATCAATATAAAAACTGTAACTGATCAAAACATATCATATAATCATAAATGCAACTTGATTTTCAACCAATAAATTAATTCTTGTGTTTGATTTTTAACAAGTGTTTTAACACAACTATTTTGCAAGAGGCCCTAGTTCACTTATCAAAGGGCCTGTGGAGTCTTTTAATCTCAAGTCATTGAATTGCTGGAGGAACTCAAATACATGTACATGTATTTATAGACTACGTGTATGTTATACTACTTGTAATAATATGGATATTTATATAGCGCCAGTATCCGCCAGGCTCTGACGCTCATGGTTGTAGCCAAGCTGCCAAAGTAACTAGCGCTCAAGCATATCAGGTACCCATTATATGACGGATTAACTATCCAAGCTTTTATTACAAACATTTATGTAGCACCATGGCTTTCCCTGGAGGAACCAGTCTAGGACCAGGTTTCATAGGCCCATCTTCAAATGGACTACCCCTTCTCACGTCTACTGATACCATGGGACAGTTCGCGGGCCTGGGCTTGGGTCTTGGCCAACCGTCTGGATTGGGCCTGAGCCAGGGCCTGGACCAGAGACCCGTCACTCACTTGAACCAGGAGACGGAACTGCAGAAGATGTTGACTGATGAGAGGATGAGAGGAGAGATGCACAAGACAAATTATCAGATGATCAAGGCTGAACACACAAAGTGAGTTTACAGATGATACCTTTATTTATTTGTAATTGCTTAGATCCTTTGTCAAAACAATTTCTTTTCAGTGTTAGCCTATACGGGTACATGGTTTAAAAATTACATTTTGACAAAGTGCTTAAAACTCTACTCTTTACATCTATTCCAATAACATCATTTGCTAAATAATTTGAGTAATGTTCACACTTCTTAAATCCTATAGAATCAAGTGATGATAGTGATGCCGTTCTCTTTTATTTTCAAAAATTATTATTCATTTCAAACACTTTAGATTACAGGATGAAAATAGCAGATTGCAGAGGGAACTTGAGCAAGTTACAGCAGATTGTCAGGTCATGGAGGAAAGGCTTCAGGAAGGAGTCAACAAAATTAACAGGGAATTGGCAATCAAATGTGCTGAACTTGAAGAATTCAGGGCACAGGTAAGCCGAAAAGGAGTTACTGTTAAACCATAACCTTTGTGACATGAAAAACAGTGAGTCTAGATTTTTTTATTTTTTTATTTTTTTTGGGGGGGGGGGAAGTGGGGGTAATATTAAAACCTCAAATGCTTAAACATGATTTCTTTCAGTTTATCCTGTAGAATTAAAGAAACTCATTTGAATGAATTCTTATGACAAGACTGCTTTGGTCTTTGGTAGCATTCTTGATACCATGTACATTTTGTATAATCATTTGCAAAGTCTGCTCTGTATTCTTGTTTATCAGATTGTAAAGGAATGACTTGAATGTAACATGCTTTTATTGGAATTGAATAAATTGAACCTGAACATGAAAATTGAACTTGAATATGTTTTTGCACATAATAATAGTAACATAGCGATGGTAACATTTACATAGCACTGAGTACTAATGTTTCTTTTTACTCTACTATTAAAACCCTGGCTTTAGCCAAGCTACCTTGACAAGGCGCTCTGGCATTCAAGGAACGTATATCTACTGGGTACCCATTTACATCATCTGGGTGGAGAGAGACAAATACAGATTAATATCTTGCCAAAGGATGTTAGTTCCGAACATCAAGAGAGAAGTTATTTTCCCCTTAATGTCATCTCTCCTTAACTCTTAAACCACGAAATGATAATCCCTTTCAGCAGCTCCTAGAAGCTATCCAGGGGGTGTTTCACAAAGATCCTAAGTAGAACAACTCTACGTTGGACTTAAAAATTATGGAGAGCCGTTTGTAGCCTTAAAATGAAATATGTTAAAAAGCAGAAATTCAAGTATCGTAGACTTTTCATAAATTCCACATCAAGAACATAAAATCTCCTTGATAATAGAAAAATATTTGCAAAGGTGCTAACGGCTTTCCATAACAGTTAAGTTGAACTTAGGATCTTTGTGAAACACCCCCAGGGATGATAATGTGCAGTGCATCAGTGCGAGATGCCATGGTGAAGTAAGTAATTTTCAGTGCTTTTTTTTTTTACCCCACTTCTTTGTAGGCTCTTACACTAGACAAGTTGGAGCTGATCAAACTGAAAATAGCTGAAGATCTTGAGCAGCCATTTCGAGAACGTTTTACCCAGCTGGAACAAGATGTGGAGCATTACAGGACTGAATTTAACAAGCTGCGTTATGAAAATTCATTCATTAAGTCAGAGTATGAACACGAGCAGGCAGAGCATAAGAGAGTTGTGGAGGAGATTAAAATGCAGTATGAAACAGAGGTATGAGGATATATTTTCAAAAGGATATTTTCCCTTAGATTTCTGTTAGTGCTGTAATCAAACGTTTAACCGTCCGGTATCTGACCGCCCATGACGGATTCCGTTTTCAATTGGACGGTTTTGTTTTCCCGTTTTTGTTGTTGTTTTTTTATAATTTTTTTATTTTTTATTTTTTTAAATTTTTTTTAAATTTTTTAAGTTTCGATTTATGCCCCTCCACCTGGCACTATGCCTGGCAATGTCTCCCAGCTCAGTAATCTGTGTGTTGACTCACCACTCCGAAACTAGGACAACACTCCAATTTGTCTGTCATCTTGGTTTGAAAGTAATCTTTGTAATAGATCCAATTCATCCAACTTTTACACCACAAGGTTCTATCCTAGGTCCTCTCCTGTTTTTAATTTACATTAATGATCTTACACATTCTTCTAAAAATGACATTGTTACTATTATTATAAGCACAAATCGGCGCCTTCAAATGCACCTCGCAGTTAAATGAAAGTCCTTCCCGCTTTTTCACACGGACCTGGCTTGCTGCCGACAGAGACGGTCAAAAAAAAAATTGTTTAACCGAAAACCGTCCGGTTTTGAATGGCGGTTAAACGAAATTGGAGATATCCGTGATGTTACAGCGCTAATTTCTGTACATATCAGAATATTTAATTCCATATGTACGCTTAGAAATGTACACTTTGTACGTAGCAAAATCCCAGAATAGTATCGTAGTACACTGAATTTGTTGTTGTTTTTGTTTGTTGTTGTTGTTTATTGTTGTAATTGTTGAACATAAAAAAGACAAAATTACTACTCATATTAAGATTAAATGCCTTTTTTGATTGAACATGTGATGGCTCAGTGGTAGGGTAGAGACATGGAAACAAGGCTGGATTGTTTTGAAGCTTAATTGATGTATTTATGCCCTTTGTTATGGCATTAATCCTTAATCACTAAGTCCTTTGAATAGAGCTTTAAGCTTTTTCTTCCTGATGAGCAACTGCAATCAACGAGCTGGTTATTTTGTCACTTTCCAAGGAGGTCACCACTGCACATTTCAGTAGTTTGGTTTGTTTTTTAATTAACTAACTTATCTTGTTGAGGGTTAGTAAAACAGATTTGTAAACAAACAAATAATTGGAATACATATACGTTGCTGGTTGGCTATTTTTCCCAATTGTGAGAACCTTGACACAAAAGTCTTGATGGTATTGGCCTCAATGACGTCCTTGAGGAGTCCATTCCACTGCTTGATGGATAGCACGTGGCAGGAATGAGTTTTGGTGATTTGGGTCTTATAGTGTGGGTGGGCGAAATTGTGCATGTGAGATGTACAGTATGTAGGTCCTCTGGTTGCTTTTTTATTTTAAAGTGTATCGTTCTTTTATTCGTTATAGAAATAACCATAACAAATAACACCAACACAATTGTAATTGATAATAACTACATTTTGTCTATCTAATGTATATGTTGTATTATTCTGTCTTTATTTTATCCTCTTGTATCTATAGATAAAAAATCTTCATAGGGATAAAGAGGCCATAGTAGCCAAGTACAGTCAGGAGAACTCACATGACAGTGACAAGGTCCGTACTCTATACAGGGACAATGCACAACTCAACCTCAAGGTCAAGGGTGAGTACTCTCTCGATGTCCCTCAGATATCATGTGAAACTATAATCCCCTGGTTACATTAACATGGGACTTCTTTTTCAAAGTTTGATGCTGTTATCATGTAGAAAACTCCCCAAATTTGCTTAAAGGGACTTTGTAACATTGTTCAGATGAGAGGAAATGGTGCTAAGGTAGTGACTTCAATGCTAGATGTACAAATAAAGATAATCTGAAAGTTTGAGTGAAAACGGACCATTATTAACGATAAAAATTGGGGAAAACTGATCTGATTGATTCCTTAATTCTCCCAGCCATATTATTACAATTTAATTACATTTTAGGTGAATTTAAATCTTCACAAAGCAATGAATTAAGTGTTGACAGATTTTTAAAAGCCTGTCTTTTGTCTTATTTTCATGGAAAAAACGGTTGGGAAAATTCAAAAATGGTTGAGAGAATTTATTGTTAATCACTGTTAGAGGGTGTCGCAAAGTGACACCTTCAAAGAAAACCGTAAATATCTTTGTGGTTTGAGAATTTTTTCGGGATTTTTGGCATGTTAGAGGGTAAGTACAGTAGAAGAAATATAATAAGTAACATTTCATACAGAAATTACGCAATTTTTTCATCAACCTTCAACAATGTTACCGAGTCACTTCAAGGTTATTTGACTAGTTTCTTTAAAATCCAAAGCATTTTTACTCTTGCTGTTTCAATCAATTGTGAGGTGTTTTTGTCCCTCATTGAATCATGGTATAGTAAGCTTACTTTATTATTTGGCTCTGCAAGTATTTGTATTTTGTATTTATTAACATTTATTTCCTTCTCAACAGTACAATATGAAACACAATGTATATAAACATGATATATGTAACAATTATTTCAACATAGAGTATAGTTACAGTAAATAATTCAGATACGGAAGGAGGCGAAAACCCGGAAAGCATAGCTTGAGTTGGGAACGCCCATAATAAATTAACACAGTTACCGAAAGAACATTATAGATATAATTATGAAAATTACATTTTATTTAACAGAAAGTTGATAGGAAAGAACAAAAATAGTAAATGGAACAGAGAGAAGAAAAAAAAAAATGAGGAGAGAATTAAGTATAGGAAGGCATGTTCACTTATAAAGAGAAAGTTACCTCAATTGGTGAGGGTGAAACAAATAGCTGCGTGCAAAAAGGTAGTCTGCATACTATACAATCTTGTGTGTCATATCAAGCTCGTGTCATTATAAAGAGGGGAAAATGCTACAGTTTACAGCATCATATCCTCTGTTTGAAGCAAGAAGGGTCTTAACTCTATGTGAAATAATATGAATTACTGCCCTTCTGGCTCTATGAGTTAACACCCTTATGGCTCCATGAGTTAACACCCTTATGGCTCCATGAGTTAACACCCTTGTGGCTCCATGAGTTAACACCCTTGTGGCTCCATGAGTTAACACCCTTGTGGCTCCATGAGTTAACACCCTTATATGGCTCCATGAGTTAACACCCTTATGGCTCCATGAGTTAACACCCTCCTGGCTCCATGAGTTAACGCCCTTATGGCTCCATGAGTTAACACCCTTCTGGCTCCATGAGTTAACGCCCTTCTGGTTTTAATCAGACAATATGTGAAAGAGCCTTTACAATGTTACCTCTGCAATCACATCCTTTCTTTGCTTCTATAGGCCTGCTAACAGAGTTAGATGAGATACGAGCCCAGCGAGAGCAATCTGGTCTACAGTCGGACCATGTATCAAGGTTACAAGCTAGACAACTATCGGAACATGCTACTAATATCAAGGCGCTTCAGGTGTGTGCATCAATGGGAATTGTCATATTAGGGGATACTTGTGTGCAACACAGAGATGAACATTTCACATTTCCGAGAGAGAGATTTAGAGAGAGTGACAAAAGGGAAGAAGGAGGAGGAGGAGGAGGAGGAGAAGAGAGAGAGAGGGAGGGAGGGAGGGAGGGAGGGAGGGAGGGAGGGAGGGAGGGAGGGAGGGAGGGAGGGAGAGGGAGGGAAAGTAGGGGGTGGGAAGCAAAAGACAGTGCTTGTGTTTGGTCTTTTTTTAAAACTTTATAACAGAATCTTTGAAATGGACCTACTATTACTCTTACCTAGCATGTTCCATTACAAGTTCTTACTCTATTACTCGTTATCCTGCTGGTCATTTGAAGACTTGTCCAATGTTCCCCAGCTGTATTGTTATGTACAACAACAATCAAGATTTAACATACAATGTCTTACAAAATGAGAATTGTCCATTATCAAACTGAGTCGTGTAAAGCGAACCTGTGCCTTGACAATTAAATGCCAACGTCTCTTGCTTGTCTGCCAGAGTGAGAAGGAGTCACTTCAGCTCCACATGGAGCAGCTCACCAAGGAGCTTGGGATCTCTCAGGACACCCATCGGAGTCTAACTACAAAGACCCACGACCTGGAGAAACAGAACATGGAGCTACGCAATCGCATGGAGGAGACCCTGCACAGAAATAAGATGGAGATCACTGATCTTAAGATGGCCGCTATGAAGACAGGGGGAGAGTTGGAGAGGGAGAAAGACGGTCTTGTCAATGAATTGGAAGGCAAGTATGCATTGGATTCAAGTTAGTTTTTATAATGAAAAACTACATGATTCAAGATCAAAAGTGTATGCATTGCTGGAATCCAGAGTCTTTGCCGAAAATATTATTGGAGGCACTTTGTTTTAGGGTTTTTGGAAAGAGAACCAGTAAGCCGGTGTGCAATATACTCATGACATGAAAATCACTGCATGTTATGGTATAGACTTTCATTGATAAAACACAGACACAGTAAAGATAATCCTGGGCAAGCAGGCCAGTGTGCGATTTACTTTCAATATGCAAAATAAAATTGAGCACACTAGTATTAATAATGCACAGTTAAAAATAGGGAAAAAACTTACTGAATTATTAATACTGCAAGTCTTACCAAAATATAAAGCGAAAAATATCATAGCTGGTGATCAATTTTTCAACAACACATTTCAGCAATTGGGAAAAGATATTTATATAAAATGTCATAGAACCTCTATCATAGGACACTTTATAGATAAAGAGAAAGATATTAGTTATCAGCAATTGTCCTCAAAACATGTATTTAACACTCATGATTGTACAACTCTCTTTCTGCTGTATAATGATTGAAGGTTTGAAGGCCAAGCACGAGGTGTTAGAGAAGTCCCTTGATGCCCAGACCAATGCCGTTGCTGACAAGGAGAGGGAGGTGGCTAGAAAGGTACAGTCAGTTCGAGAAGAAGAATGGGACAGGATCAACAAGCTAGAAGGAGAAAAGTAAGGACTATTTATTCACCAGCCATTGGAATTTCAAGAAATTTAGATTTTATTTACAATTATTATTTTGTTAATGCTATTTCATTTCCAGGAACACATAGGATTTTTTACAAAGGATGAAAAACACATAGTACATTAACAAATACAATAAGAAAAGGTTGGAATAGATTGCATACACATATTTCCAAGGACTACTCCTCCCCTCCCCCCCCCCCCCATTTCCAAAATCTAAACTAAAATTGTGATGGAATGAAATGTACAAATATTTCCTTTGACTACATTCCCAGAATTGCATTGATTTATTTTAAATATTTTTTTAATGACCTTTTATTTGATAACCGTAATTATCATTTCCATACGATTCTATTCAAACATGTCTTGTGTTGAAATGAATGCTTTAGAAATGAGGTACTCTTATTTTCCCAACACATAATTCAAACAATGCATTACGAATACGGCTTTTGTATTTGGATACTCAGGTTGGAATTGGAGGGTCGTCTGCAGGAATTTGAGAGGCTAAAGATAGACGAGGAATCCCAGAGATATGCAGACAAAGAAAACGGACAAGAAAGAATCAGAGAAGCTGAGAAACGATGTGAACAAGCTGAAAGAGACCTGCAGCTTATAAAGTAAGTAGCCATAATTTCATAAAGGTGTCATCTAAATTATTAAGGGCCATGTTACTTTCTTTGATGTAGTAAAAGCTTACTTCTTTCTTAGATGGTGTTACATGAGGAAAAATTCCATTGTGCACTTTCCGAAGGAAATAGAGTAAACAATGATAATGAAAGAGGGATGAAGCTTCATGATGACACCATCCTATTACTAAACTCGTGTCTCATTCCATAAGTTCTCTTAGAATAAACATGAAAGATGAATGTATATCGTGTGTGTAGATAAACATGGATAAATCACAGTTTGTGTTTGAATATTGTTTGACCAAACAAAAAAAGTTATGGGAATAGTTGCAACCATTAATACTTGTTTAATTCTATGCTGGTGATTAGCTTAGTTTTATCCCATTACAAGTGAATGTTACTTGTATAAACTGTATATGTATGGCATTGAAATTTTCTTGGGTTAAAGTACCCTTTCAGTCAAAGCATTATACCATTAAAGGGACATAGATGTTCTACATACACACAGTGATTTAGAGAACAATGTGGAAATTACTAAATCTACAATTTACATGCTACTTGAACCTTACTTTTTATTTTCTTGGAGTAACTCAGCTTGTAATGCCTTCGGTGTTTTGTTGATTTTCAAGTATATGACATGAACAACAAAAAGTGAAAACTTATAGACCAGAGTGCATGCACAATGGATTTAACTGAATTGCACTGAAGAAAGTGACAATATATAATGTTTTTCATCATGTTAAATTTCTCGTCTTTGAAATCTAGAACAAAATTAGAGCATCATAATACATCGTTGAAAGATCTGGAACATGAGCAAACCATCAGCACACAGCTGAGGGAGAAGTGCACAAGGCTGAAGGCTGAGCTACAGGATACACATGCAGCAGAACAAGAACTCCTGATGGAAAATGATAATATCAAAGGTACAGTCACCTGCTCTTCCACTACTTTTAGTGATATATTACGTCCATTAATTAAATTGTATTTAAAATGTAGCCGTTTGAGATGAACTAGCTTTGGCCAAAATAGAAAAATGTAAAAGGCCGAGCTGTCTATCTTTTTTTCAGACTTTTAGTAAAGTGCTTTGAGTGGTTCCTTGCAGCTGGTAAGGTGACATGTAAATACCGGTTGTATTTTGTCCAACATATGATGGTATAGTCTGAGTATTAAGTTAATAGTAATACCATAGCTTAGATGAGACCAAATATGATGTGAAATGACACATTTGATGTCAATTTATGTTGAGAACTCTACAATAGTTGGTAATTTTTAGGACACGAAGTGACCAAATACCTTTGACTTGCTCTTATAATTGTTGTAATGAATTCTGTCAAATTGCTGCTGTTGTGAAACTTGACTACTTATGATTATCTCACAGCATCTTTGGAGATGTATCAGAATGAGTTAGTCTTGGCCAAGGCTGCGATGGAAAAAGAATCAGAGCTGTCCAATCAGAGGCTGTCCCAGCACAAGATGACGTGGCTAGATGAGAAGACACAGCTGGAACGAAGACTAGATGAGCGGGAAGGCCAGGCAAGGCAAGCTCAGAAGCAGAGGGATGATACCACCAATGCACATGCAAAGGTAAATGAATATATTTATTGTTTTTAACTCAATGATAATTTTTATATCACATTCTTGTAGTTTAGTTCATACTACATTCCGCGCACGGTTCCTTTCCTATCCAGGCAATATCAGAGCTGCCAACGATTCCTACTCCCTTTTTTTTTTTTTTACATACCGCACATCAAACAACTGCCCTAAAATGTTGATTTGATCACAAATTCAATAGAAAACTAAGTTTAAAATATACTTGAAAACATACTTGAAAAGAAAAATATTCTTAAAAAGAATGAACTGCTGATAATACCTAAATAACCCCCCCCGAAAAAAAAAAAAAAAAAAAACTTGCTTGTATGGAAAAAACAGCATGAAGAATGACCATTCCTGCATAGGAAGTGTGTCATGCGTGTTTGTAAGTTTTGTTTTAATGAGTTCCTTTTTTTCTTCCTGAAATTCCTTTTTTTTTGCCTTCATGGTTCCATTTTTGGTCGCACAAGGTTGGTAGCTCTGCAATATGCACAGCACATCTTCCTATTATGACTACTGTTTTAACTCAATGCATTTACGCTTTCATTCTGCTCTCAGAAGGGCAGTTACTCAGGAAGTGTTTTCTCCTATAGCCCTTGACATAGTAATGAAATATACCATGCACTGCAGGGAATAATTTTCTTCAAATTTTTTGATTAGCAATTTCAGGCGATGGATAAATATTTCAAATGAAATTCTGTACATTTCTATGGAAGAAAACTGCTACATAAAAGATATTTTGTATAGCAGTCATGCAAAAATGCATAGCAAATTGCGATGCGATACCAGGAAAATTATTCCCTGCACTGAGAGGTTCAGGCTGACATTATGGATTCTCTGAGACAATTGGCTTAGCACTTTTAAGAAAACAGTCACTATGCCACTCACCGTATACTTAACCAGTTCTGCTAGGATAGTGCATGGTATATTTGATTTACATCCCTCATCAAAATATGAAATATGTTATGATATCATCAAGGCTCATGGTCTTAATTGCATGATATATACAGATGATATTCAGGTTTATCTCTCTTTCCCTTCAAGAAGTATAGTAGGAACATACATGTAGCTGTTTGTCGTATCAATGCCTGCATTAAAGACATAATATTGTGGTCAACTAAGAACATGTTATACAGTAGGCTTGCAGGTGCGCCATGTGAGAGAGAGGAAGGATTGAGAAGTCCTGAAAAGGACTCTCGGTAATCTTTCTTGAGGGTTTTGTAGTCCTGAAAAAGACTGTTGGTATAGTCTTGAAAAAGACTAAGTTTTAAGGAGAACTATAGCGCTTGGAGAGGATGGGTGGTGGGAGTGCGTGGCTCGACCATGAATATGCTACTTGTCAATGCTTCTAAGACTGACGTGATATTTTATGTCTATATTTGTTCCTAATACACTGCATTCTCTAATTGTCAATGTTGATGGAGTTGACATTCCTGCAGTCCAAAAAGCCCAAACCTTGGTGTTATCATGGACAGGCATCTGTCAATGTCTGATCACATCACCAAGACTTGTCAATCAGCTGTCTCAGCCATCTGAAAAATTGGACAGATTAGGCATTATCTTAATCGTAAATCTATGGCAATCCTTGTTCACTCCTTGATCATGTCCCATGTTGATAATTGTAATGCTCTATTCTATGGTCTACCCCCAAAAGCAATTGAATCGTGTTCAGAGAATCCAGAATACAGCAGCAGGGCTCATAACAAGCGCTCGCTCTAGAGACCCAATTTCACCTATATTGTTTAATCTCCATTGGTTACCAGTTGAAAAACGTATACTTTTAAAGATATTCATTGTATGTTTTAAAGCTCATAATTACCTCTGTCCACACAACATATCAGAAGTTGTTCATCAGTACACACCAATACGCAACCTCAGATCATCAATCTCAATATCTTCTTTCTGTTACGCCTACCAAGTACTAACACACAGACGTATGGCAACAGAGCCTTGTCAGTGTCCACTCCTGTACTCTCGAATTCTCTACCTTTAGAAATAAGAAAAATTATCTTACTTGCAATGTTTAAGACTGCAGCAAAACTTATATATTTTCAAAGTAATTATTATTTGTTGTGGAATATCATTTGATGTACATTTAGTTTGCAATTTGTATGTAAAATTGCAATTTTCTATAATTTGTATGTAATAATGTAGGCCTGATATGTAATTTGTATGTGATAATGTAAGTTGTATGAATGTTATACTGTAAAGCGCATCGAGGATTGTCATCTATGATTATTATTAAAGAAATACATTTGAATTGAAAGTAAATATAAACATACACCTTTGTCCAAAATACACACATATTGCGAAGAGCGATGTGCTGCCCATGCCATATCACAGTGGCTATAGTGGTGTATAATTGGCAATACTGGTAGTCAATTTATACCGTAATAATTAATAATCCGGTTTTTTATATAGCGCTCAATACACCGATCCAACGATGTACCTAAGCGCTTTACTGATATATTATTACCCCGGTCATCAGATTCAGGCTTACCCGCACACAATGTGTGCACATTTTCCACTCCCTGGGGAGCATTCCAGCCAGTCGCCATTTTACAGGCGCACACTTGCTCGTTCAACCACATGAACGTTCGCATATAATAGTGGTTGGTCTGAGGCCTAGAATATTATGCAGAATGTACATTGGTTTTTCTATGAAGATCTGAGAAGTTCATATATAGACTCCATGCATAATTGTGCTTTTATAGCAGTACATAATTTTATGAAACTTTGTAGGTGACATAGCAGACAAGATTAAGTGTCAATTATTTCACTATGTTTTACTTCTATACCAATGAAAAACAAGACAGTTTAATAAAGTATAATGCAAGTGGGTTTATGTGGATATTTTGTAATGAATTTGTCATTGTAGAGAAAGCAGAAATATCAGAAAGTGGTCAACAAGCTTCAAGATAAAATGCAACTTCTGGAGGCCAAAAATGAGCAACTAGAATTGGAGAAACAAGCATTGAAGTAAGAATTTCCAATTTCAATTCAAATTTATTTCACTTTGCAATAAAATGTAATGTACAAACACATTTATATATCACAATATATGTACAATCAAATGTGTAACAATTGAAGCATGGAATAAAGTATTTACATCATACATTGCACAATGTAGGTAGCAGCAAAATAGGAGAAGCCCTGAAGAAATATTTCAATTAGTGTTGTAACATCACAGATATTTCCAATTCCGTTTAACCGCTAATGAAAAAGGGACGGTTTTCGGTTACACGATTTGTTATTATATTTTTAATTTGTGTTTTTATTGGAAGATTATTTGGGAAATTGGGAATTTAGTTTTACGAGTCAACTTCTCAATCTGCAATCTTGCAATTTATTATTATCTTGTAGATTGTTGCTCTGCAATTCAACATTCAACAGTCGGGGCTGACTTATGATGACTTAATGTTGACAAAACTTGATTTATTAGCTTCATAAACAAAGTGAAACCCAGTCATTATTCCAATGCATGCCTGACAGTAAAAGGCTCCCTTTTTGTTCAGCGACTTTGTTTCTAACCATGTAAATTATTTGTAAATTATGTGATTTCTTTTTATTTTCCAATAAAAACACAAATTTAAAAAAATGTGTGAACGACACCGTCAAATTGAAAACGGATAGTGCCATGGATGGTCGGATACCGGATGGTTAAACATTTGAATGTATAGATGATAATATGATAAATGTCCATAATGGCTGCAACTTATAGCAGAACATTACAGAAAGAAAAAAAATTGTGTGTCTGTAATTGACTGCATGTCTGAGAAAAATTTAACAGCAAGTAAAATAGTAAGTCAAGCTACTTTATGGCCCGAATTCACAAAGCAAGGTTTGAGCTCAAACCTCCTTTTGTTTCGCCAAACCTTCTTTTGTTCTTTACAAACCAGGTTTGTAAAAAAACGCGTAAAACGCATCATATGACGTACGAAAACCAAGGTTTGTCAACAAACCTCCTTTGTGAATTCGGGCCCATATGTATGGAAAAAAATATCCTGGCTTTAAGTTCTACCACAAGTCAAAGGAACAGGTGCCTGGCTTTGTCAAAGAGCTTATATTATTTGTGACCTGATTTTTGCACCAATTTAAACATGATCAAACATACAAACATGCATTCAGTATTTGCATAGAGAACTGGCACTGTATTAATATATCTTGTACTTTGGATGTCACTTTTATTTACTTTTATGGATTTTTTGTTGTTTAAAGGATGCATACTATTACATTTAAAAGCTGATCTCAAAATGATAACGTTTACATTGAGCTATTAAGGTATATTATATACCGGTATGCAGAAATAGTTTTGGTATGTAATGAACTAAGGGGGACATTTTGTTGATTGTACTAGCTAATGATGCACCATAAAGTGGTTCAACAGTAGGCCTATTGTTTTACTCCTTGTATGCTACAAAATAATGGCTCATTGACATATGATGTAGGAAACTGCAGTGAACAAGTGGGGATGAAAAAAAGTTTCTGTATGCAAAGGTCCTACACGTACTTACGACGTGTTTGTTGTAAAATATATAAATGTGAAGCATTTAATGATTGCATTAAGTGATATGTTAATGAGCCTTTATGTACATGCATGAAGGAGTCCTTTTTTCAATGCTGATCTAATTCGGTCATGGACTGGAGGAGGCGCCATAGCTCAGTCGGTAGAGCAGTGGCCTCGTTATCCGGTGACCCGGGTTCGAAACCAAGTCAATGCGCTAGTGCCCTTTCGTAAGGCATTAACTCATAGCCTGCCATAAGGCTGCATACACGCTATTGTTATAGTGCTTTGTACACGCGAGCAAGCTACTGTTTCTCTGCTTCTTGCATGATTGCACGCATATGTAATAGCAGTTATTGTTCATGCCCATTGGACTGTGCCTAGTGTTTTGCACTGGGGGGGGGGGGGGGATTTGTGGCTTGGTACAATGGGGATTAGCCCTGTGGCAGGATAAGAGTTAATCCTCATTACCAGGTACCTCAGAGAGGACCTTAAGCTGTCGGTCTCCTGGTTGCTTACTAACAAGCTGCATTTATTGCTTTCTTAGCTGTCAGGTAAAATAACCACCACTATCACTATCACTAGTTGCCTCTGGTGAGTCTACAACCAGGTCCCTGTTTCATAAAATGTGTTATTAATAACAACTGCTACAGATCTGTGACAACTCTGCTCACAGCCAATCAAATGCAAGGATTTCAGTAGCTTATAACAATCATCGTAACTTGTTATTGATAACAAGTTTTATGAAACGGCCATGATTGACAGCCTAGGAAATCTTGGCAGGGTTTCACAAAATGGTCATTTGTTCACTGACATCCTATTGAAACTTGTACTTCAGACAGTTTTGTGAAATGATGCCCAGTATTCTCTTTTCAATATTTCATATCTTTCTATGAGTTACTGGAGGGAAGGGCTACTTCCTTAAAGGTAATACTAAGTTTTGGTATAGGGTCATGAATTTGGTTCAAATGAACATATTGGAAGCATATGCGATCCTACAATATTCAGTGATCGTTGTCGTGGTTGAAATCGAGTCCTAAGTGATGAAATTGTAGATAATAAAATCTTTATGTTGTAGAGCTCCCTCTCAAGGTCAAGATATTCATTTAGCTTTAAAACAATGTTTCTTGACTAAAATTGACCGAATTGCTATTCCCGTTTGGAAATTGTATATCACTACTGCATATTCTGAGATTTTCATGGTCGCAGCTACCATTGGATGGCCATATAAGCTATTTGAAATTTATCACAATTTACCCGGAGCACCGGTATATTTTTATATTCAATTTTTCTCGAAAGCAGAAGTTTTTTAGGGGCTAAATTTTCTAGTGCTCATAGAACATCCTCAGGGGCATCCAAATATATCAAAATTTTAAAGAATCGCTATCCAGCCATTTTCAAAATTTCCCAAAACTTTGTATTACCTTTAACATGATAAGAACATCGTCTTTGTATGTCAAGTTTTGAAACCATTTCCTCTGACAATGGATTTTATAAAAGTTTGAAAAGGGAGAGTCTGTTGAGACTCTGAAGTGCTGGTAGCAGATGAATTCACCAATGTTGCGTCTTCCCTGATACATGTACATGTATTATACGGTTGATTTACATAAGTGTAGAACTTCAGAAATATGAGAAGTAGAATGAGAAAAAAGATGAGCCCTAAAGGAATCCACATTTTGATGTTTCCCAGAGGTGCGGTAGTTGTGGTGGATGGTGGCAGGGTGGAGGCGGTCGCATCTGTTTCGGTTTCAGGAGAAACGTTGCCCCCAACCTATCAAATAGAGTGAAGAAGAAGTAGACTGAATTTAAAAAAAATTAATAATAATCACAATCTCTTTTATTTCAATACATATGGAGTTATTACAGTATTCTATTTCATTTCAAAGTAATAATATCAATGCAAACCCTTCTTTTTTAAAGATACTATGTCCCATTTGCAGGCCAAGTCGACTTAAGAGCTATAGTGTGTGTATTGGGTTTTTACAGACGTGTTTCAATCAGATATGATTATTTACGTCTGGGACCGACCTTTAAACGTCACCATCCGAAAGACGTGACTCAGTTTCGAACCTGCGTCCTCGGCTGAATCAGTTTGTAACTTCCACTTTTTAGCTGGATTACAGGCGCATGCCACAACGCCTAGTTGTAACAGTTTGATTTTCAGACCATTTACCTATGGTTATATGTTTTGTGCTGCGCAAAGATTCAATCAGTTTAATTTTGGCCATTACAAGAAGTGGGTTATTGATGTAGACAAATGCTCATTTACCTTTACAGCTCATTTTATGTACATGTATGTTATTACCAAAGGAAAAAAAAAGAAGTCAGTCAGTCACTCAGTAGTGTCTGACAGTAAAGTCTAGAAAGTAAACGGGTTTCCTTGCATGATTTAAATAATAGGACACTGCTAAGGTTTAACTTTCACAGATAGGACATATTCATAATTCTTGCAAAGTTCTACAGAATTTGATTTTGGCTGCAAATAGGATATAGTACCTTTAAAGGTAGTATGTCACATTTGTAGGCCAAAAGAAATGAAAATGTCAAATTGTAATGGCATTTGAAAGATAATACTAATTAAGAACTTCCCTCAAAACAGAAGGGCTTGAAAATAACGACTGTTAGTTGTTGAATCGAATTAAGTGAGTGCTCGATTAATTAAATACAGTAGTCTGATTATCAGACTCTATTACAAAATGGTCATACGTTTTGTGCTGCTTAAAAATTCAATCAGCTTAATTTTGGCCGTTACAAGAAGTGGGTTATTGATGTGGACATTTATTGATGTACCCTTTACAGCTCATTTTATGTATGTTATTACCAAAAAAAGAAGCCAGTCAGTCACTCAATAGTGTTTGACAGTGAAGTCTAGAAAGTAAACAGGTTTCCTTGCATAATTTGAATAATAGGACACTGCTAATGTTTAAATTTCACAGATAGGACATAACGGTACCTGACATATTCACAATTCTTGCAAAGTTCTACAGAGTTTGATGTTGGCTGCATAAGGGATACGCTACCTTTAAAGGGCAATCCAACCCTTGTAATAACTTTATTGATATGGAAGCAATAAATGAATAAAAATAAGAGAAACGGGGAATTATGAATGCTTGAAATATGATATCACTAAATCGATATGATTCTCAAATTGGCAGTGGATTGTGACATAGTCATGGGAAAACTCTCCTGTTTGCTGAGTACAAAAATATAATAACCTTCTTCCCCCCTCCTAAGTGCGTTCTCCCTTGGAACACTAGGTACTCCAAATACATTATGAATAGCATATTATTACAGATCCTCTAAAATGAAAAGACCTTCCGGAATCATACATGTTTAAAAATTGACTTTTTAATGTAGAGTACTTGTCTTGTTATGGTTGGATTTTCCCTTATAGTGATATGAGTTGCAGCTTTCAGTTCATTTCAGCTCAGTTAAATTCAATTAACTTTAATTCTATACAATCCAGCTCGATTCAATTCAATTCCTCTCCCCACTAGTATTTAAACCCATAGCAGAAGTATAAAACAAATACTAGCATATTTACATTTAACATCAACAGAAGGTTTCTTGAGGGGAACAAAATGAGCCATGATATGGAAGATGTATGGTGTAAAACAGTCCAATAGAAAAAAAACACAATGAAAAATAAGATGATGAACCTGTGAAAAAAGCATGGGATCCGAAAGTGAATGGCATAAAAGAGGGAAATGAAGTCCAAAGATTTCACAGGAAGATATTACGAAGAAAGAAAGCAGTAAGGTTGGTTTACATGAGGAGGATGGTCAAGACAAGAAGAAGAGGAGGAAGGGAGTATCATCATGGTGTAAAAGTCAGTAACCCCTCATAAGAGGGAAAATGCTGCCTTTGATTATTGATGATGAAGATGATGATGATTTGCATGAAATAAAATAGACCGTAGTGATACTAGTACCGTAAATAATATGTTGTTTATAGACATTACAATTACAATGTTTCATTATAAAAAACAAAACATGAATGTTACCTGTTTTGATGAAATGGTAGCTTCCTGTGGATCCACACGAATTTCGATAAACTCGTGTAAAATCTCTACTTTGGGGTCTCTAGCAAACACAGAAAGTTTGATTTCCCGATGATCCGCCAACCGAAGGTTGTGGATTACGATCTTTATAGACCCTCTGGTAGAGCTGTAATTTTTAATGGAAATCTCAAAGCGGTCGATATCTCCAATTTTGCTGTGTTTGTAGATAAACCTTGTTTCCTCAATAAATGGTGTTTCTCCATCAGGGTGTCCAACTGACCACATAAAGATGTAATCCGACATTGATTTGTTTGTAGGAAGCATGAACGATGCAGTTATCATGGCAGTTTCATGTTCAAGGTAATGAGGCTTGTTGGTTGTTAGACTCCTCAAAATACTACCCTGCACAGTCGAACATGAGCAAAGCCTCATCAGTGCAGCTATGATGATAAGCCTCGACATTGGGACTATGCAGTGTGGATCCATGGTTCACTATAGTACCAGCTCCTCAAAATCTTGTTCAATGTTAATACATTGGTGACCTATTGATGAGCTTGACACCACCAAGATCCAGGCCTCCATATATGGCTGTTAACATGTAGTTTCAGCTTCTACCAACCTTAACATTTAGTAGGCAAGCTTTACAGCCACTCCTGTGGACTTTCTCAAGCAAAGTCAAGTTATCATTCACACAGTTTCTTGCTTTCTGCATGCTGCCTGGAGATCACTGGACCAAAGATAGTGACAATGAATAGCAAGACACACCCTTAATACTGGACACATCATTGTAATGGGATGAAGCATGGACTTTAGAATACACTCCTGTTCCAAGAAAGCGGAAAGAATCCATGTGGATAAAAAAGGATTAATCCCTCACTGAATAGGGACTCTGGCTATTCACTATCACTTATCTGCTCCAGTGATCTCAAGGCAGCAGAAAGCAAAGAAACTGTCTGAATGATCACTTGGCTTGAGAAAATCCACAGGAGTGGACCAAAGCTTGCCTACTATATTTTAAGGAAACATAGAACTCTATCTTACTTGCAAAGTGGCTGATGAACAAGTGACTGCAATAAGTTGAGCTACGTGCAACTATCAAACCAAAAGCATCCAAATATGGCACGTACTGCCTGACGTATTCATCATCCATTTACAGACAACGAAAGTTTGTCCGGAAGTGACTTTCTTGAGTGGGATAGATAGCAAAAAAATAGCGAGGAACTTGATAATTTGTTTTTCCTGTGTGATCATGTAGGGGTCATCAAAAAAGTTTGGCATAGCCTGTCAGATTATTTATGACATATAAACTTTGTTATTGTTTTCTCAGTTGTTGTTGTAATCAAAGACTTCACTCCAAGAAAGGAAAAGGGGTGGGGCCAGGGGGTGGGGGGGGGGGGGGGGGGAGGGGGGGGGGAGGTTCTCATATTTTAGTATTCTGTAACTTTTATAAGTTTGTTAATGGGGTACTGTACTAATCGTTCAGATGCATGCGTACATGTAGGTCCTGATTGAAATGTATTGTTGTAACCAATTTTAACTGATTTTGTTGTCTTTACAGTTTGCCATAGTTCTATCATCTCTTCTGTAGGTACACAATCTATACATGACATATCACGACTAGATAAAGATTGCTTTTATGAGTCACAGATATCATTTATGTGATTAAGTCCAATGGCTTCTATTGGTAAAGCAATAATGATAAATCAAAATCGATTTTAGCAACTGTCCACCCAAAAAAGTATATTCTAATCTCATTTGCATTAACAATTTTTTTGTAATTTGTGTCCCATACGACTCAGAATATAGCGATATCTTTTAACATATAAACCAATGTATACAAATCTTTCAGGAATCAGATACCCAAAGAGACGTACACCAAAGCAGTAAGAAAGTTAAGGGAACTCCAGCGCAGGCACAATGAATTCCGGAACGTACTGAGTTCAGCCAACGTGTCCCAGGTACCCTTGGGAGGAGTATCTTTCATGACTCCGTCTATGACACAACCCTTGGATGCCTCTAGTCCATTTAAAACAACACAGGTTGGTTGGTGCTACATGTTTTTTTAATCAAATTTTCTCAGAAAAGCTGAACAACAGCTAGGTTCCTATATTTGGTGTAATGAAAACAAATTGGTTTAATATTATGACGATGAAAGATACTGTAATATTTATAATTTATCTGGTATGTATAGAAAATTTGTTATTAAGTGGCAGTGACTTCAATTTTTATTTGTGTAAAAAGAATTAGGGAACCACCTTGTAACCAAGTTGGTTAAACATATGTAAATTTATGATTGATCTTTGTTATTTTGACTTTATCCAATTAAGTAGCCTGTGGAGGTCTAAATATATATAGCTTTTTAAAGGCATTGTTTAACAATGTTTCCACTTTACAAATCTGATATGCATGGCCCTAGGTGTTATCAGTGTCAGTGATATGGTGTAATATTGAAGCCCCAAACAAATTGCGCTTCAAAATGATCATGAAGTGCTATAAGAAAGTAAAAATCTTTGTGCGACTGTTTTTACCAATACCATACTCATTTTCCCCCAATAGACTGTAATGTTATAAAAAAACGTTGGGGAAACGGTTTTTGAAATTTTGAACTCCAGTCACAAATATCTTGATGATCAGACAGGCCATTGGCTTGAAAAATTCATGGGATCCCTGACTGACCTGAAGGTTTATAATTATGATTGCAGCATGAGCTAAATTCAGGATTTTGTTTAGAATCTGAGGCAAAGATACCCAATCCCTTTAATGTTTTGTTTTCATTGACACCTACTTTCACAACCACCTTATTACAGAAAGACCATTTTTCTACAAAGAACACAGTTTGAAACCTGTGGTCCGGTATTACATTAAAATGTGCTATATTCTTGAATAGCAAACTACTCATAGGTAAAAATTTCAAATGCTATTTAGTACTGAAACAATAGATACGATTTCTTAACAAATCAAGAGACAATGTTTAATGGATTTTGATAATTTTGATGCAATGCTGTTGGTATTAAACTCATCAAGAAATGAGTAGAAATTCAAATTTATGCATAACACATTTAAGAAGAGAAGCTCCAACTTTATTCTCTTTTTTGTATGAATTTTAGTATAAGGATAACAGATAAATTACCTATTTTGCATCCAATTGAAATGAGAGTTGCTAAATTGATTTTTTTTGGGTGTAAATTATGGGATATATATATACATGTGGCTGTTTGTAAGAAATTGCTGTAGATGTTTCCAACACTGATAGGATATCCCCTTCTAGTACATATACCCACACACAGGCGCGGATCCACGGGCTCAATTCTACGGGCCCGGCTATGGCAAGCCCATTGTGTAAAAACTAGATAAACTCTGTTTTTCTCAGATAAACTCAGTTTATCAACAGATAAACAGAGTTTATCAGATAAACAGAGTTTATCAGTTGATAAACTCAGTTTATCAGAAAAACTCAGTTTATCAGTTGATAAACTGAGTTTATCATTGATAAACACAGTTTTTTTGATAAACTGAGTTTATCTAGTTTTTACACAATGGGCTTGCCATAGCCGGGCCCGTAGAATTGAGCCCGTGGATCCGCGCCTGCCCACACATATGTTGTCCCTTGTCAGTGTATAAGTTGATCAAGAAGATTATAAGTGGTATTGTGTTGTTATTTCTAGCCAATCCGGTTTCAAATTCCACAAATCCAAATACATCCAGTATCGACCAACAAGATGGGGGTAAAGAGAATCATTTTATTGCCTGGCACCTACCAACCAGTTTTTATTGCATTCTGAGGCATTTTTAGAGGTGGTGGTTGAATAATATAAATAATAATGGCTACTAGTCAGATGGAATGTTCTCAAACTGTATTTTTCCTGATTCAATAACACTTATATCTGGACATGGACACATGGTATACAAAAGCCTTGAGAAATATCTTTTTCATACAGATTTATGGCTTTCTTGTCAAAAAACATGACTGTTTTCATTATGTGCTTTTATCAATTTATAGCATGGATTTTAATTTGCTGTGAGGCATCGAGAAGAACTAGCAACCTGTATATTTAATGGGAATCTGTAATTTTGTCTGTGTGGGACTCCCTCTATGGCCCTTCCTCTTTCACAATTTGTATTCCCCCTTTTAAATCCTTTCAATTGTATGCACGTTTTAATATTTTGGATTCTTTAATCACACATTTTCCCAAACAAAAGATTATTCTTTGTTGTTTGTGTGTGTTTTCACCTCACCTAATATCTGCACACATGGTATCATAGGATTTGTGGTTTGAAAATTGAAGTATTTGATCGATTAGGATGACAACAGTCTTGAATGCATTATTCATTACATATATCACTGTTAAATGTCAAGTGCCTTGTAAATAATCATTGCACATTTTTGGTGTTTTTGTTGTAATGAAAGGGAGAGAAGTATGTATCTTACGATTTGGGATACTTATAGTCAAATGCACCGTGTATTAATTACATTCAAGCATACCCCCTCCCAGGGCACAGTATACCGGTATGCACATTTAAAAAAAAGATATATCATGCACTTGTCTTGTGATGTGATGTGTACGGTAAGACTGAAAGTACATGGTTTAATGACTTATTAAAATGCTTGAAATTTGAATACATTTATTGTTAGATTTCCTCTCTTCTCAATTTTTCTTCTAATTATCTTGTACATTTTATCAGATGAAAAGCAGAGGACATTGGAACCAATTAAAGGGTTGGGGTTAAGGTTGCACTTGAGTTTGTTTAGGTTGTGTTTAGGGCTAGGGATAGTATAGTAGGGTGGTCCACAAGGTTTTTTTTTGACATGTAACATAAACAGATTTGAACTTTTAAAAGACAGGTTTGGAAATGAGCAGTGGCCAAAATTGTTTTTAAAATATTAGTCATGAATTTAAAAATGGCTCAGAGTGCATCTGAGAGCACCTAAGAACCCCTGTAGGCCCAGGGCAGAGCAGTGCTTGTCATGTTTGCTGTAAGTTTTAACAGTCGCAAGTCCAAATCTTTTCTTTGTGGACCATCCTGGGTATAAAGTTTTGGGTCCAGGGTTGAGGATCGTAATTTGGTTAGTTTAGGATATTGACGGGAGAAATTGTTGAATGAGCAAGTCTCATACAACATACATGGCATGTTCCTTCTCTCTCTCTCTCTCTCTCTCTCTCCCTCTCTCTCCTCTCTCTTTCTCTCTATCTTTCCTCTCTCTTTCTCTATCTCTCTTTCTCTCTCTCTCTCTCTCTCTCTCTCTCTCTCTCTCTCTCTCTTTGTCTCATATTTTCTTCTTACAATTGTATAGATGTTATCAGTTGGAAAGCATAGGACCCAATAATGAAACCAACTTGTCACTTGTCAGTAGTACAAGTTACGTCGAGGAATGATTCATAAGTTAAACCTAAATTCATTTATCCAGTATAAATTCATTTATTTATTACCCATTTATTCCTATTTTTTTCTTCTTCTTTTATTAGCACCATCATGATCTCTCGGTGATCCGTAGCCGCCTTGAGGAGCTTAGTGACAACCAGAGGCTACAGATGGATGCCCTGCTGGGGGGAGTAGGGGGAGGGGGTGGAGGGATGGGGAGTGTACCCCTTACAGCTAGATCTGAGATGGACAAGGAGAATGAGGACCGCGCCTTATCACCAGAAGGGAGTGGCATGGATGTCCTTGATCTTTAGTGACAACCAGAGGCTACAGATGGATGCCCTGCTGGGGGGGAGGGGGAGGAGGAGGAGGAGGAGGGGGTGGAGGGATGGGGAGTGTACCCCTTACAGCTAGATCTGAGATGGACAAGGAGAATGAGGACCGCGCCCTATCCCCAGAAGGGAGTGGCATGGATGTCCTTGATCTTTAGTGACAACCAGAGGCTACAGATGGATGCCCTGCCTGGGGGAGTAGGAGGAGGAGGGGGTGGAGGGATGGGGAGTGTACCCCTTACAGCTAGATCTGAGATGGACAATGAGAATGAGGACCGTGCCCTATCCCCAGAAGGGAGTGGCATGGATGTCCTTGATCTTTAGATGCAATGTCCAAACTTTGAAGAAAAAGGAAGCTTAATGAAAGTATGGAGTGCCCTCGTGAAGAATAGCATAAGGCACAACACTTGAACTTTTAAATTCAATCACCTTGATTTATCAAATGAATTTGATTTTAGACCTGAAATTCTCTTACCAGATAAAAGCTATAAAGACTTGAATATACATGTATGTTATACCGGATATCAGATGCGTTTTATTTATTGAAAATGATTTTGTGGTAGTTATTGTGTGTACCGTCCTAATAATTATATCTATGAATAAGTGATGCATGACATATCTAATACTATTGCTTTGATGCATGCAGCATACCTGCCAACCCTTACAAATAATCCGGAATATTCGGTTTTTCTGGATTTTTTTTGTTTTGTTGCTTAAGCCTATAATTAAGTTTGTTTTATCATGTGCCACAATGTGAGAGTTCACATATTGCGTGCATGATTGAGCAGCAAATTTGTATTCACTTTTTTGCTCAGATTTACCGCGTATTGCCAGTTACACAGCCGCTGCATGTGCGTACGCCTGTTAAGGGTACAGATTTCTTATTTTCAAAGACTTACCGTGCTAAACATTCCTAATTCTCATTTTCAAATGTTGGCAGGTATGATGCAGTATGAAAGCAAGATAACCGTGTATTGTAAAACCCTATTAGGCAAGAGATATGGGCTATATATTTTGAATTGATACAAAATTGCCAGGTCAAGGAAGTGTGACTTCAAGATTGGGGAAGGTTTATAGAAACAAGTAGATGTTACATCACATAATTTCAATGTTGGCTTAGACTTGTTATTCAGTATCTAAAGCTCACACCTTTAGTAATTGACAGTCTTGAATCAAACGATTCTCTCACTTTCTCTCTTTTCATAGAAAAAAATACTGTTTTCCTGAACTCATGCCAATGCATCCTGAGACAAACATGAATAACAGACAAGTTCATGTGACATATGTGGTTTCCTTCCAAGTAATATTGATCTAAGATAAGATTGATATACATTGGCCTCTTTATTTAAATGTATGCGCAATCTGTAATTAGCTATGACAGCAACTAACTACTGACAACGATTTTGATAATTGATACTGCAGATTTTAAAAATGAAAAAAATGTACCTATTTGTACTTCCTCATAATGTTATTGTATGCTGCAGTTTTTACTCCAAACAGTAAAGCATGAGACTTTTGCAGTTTTTAAAAAGGGAATATACTCTCAGTGCTCTTACAAAATGTGTACCGGTAATGTGAATAGCAGATTTTTACTGTGTATGAATGACTATTTATTCTGTAAATATTGAATTTTTTTACTGACAAACTACTGTGTTTTAAATTATAATTTGTACATATAGTCACCGTTAATATATTTTAAAAGGTAATTTGCATATTAATTAGACAGGAGATGAAACACTGAGGAGACATTTTTTTTTCTTCAAAATAGTTATAGCAGGGGCTGCGGGGCCTTCTACAAGTACTGTATATAAAGTGTTGGTTGCTTTCAATTTTGATGAAATATGCTTCAATCCAGGTTATTTTTAGAATACTCATCATTCTTGTGTTAGTGACAACAAAATTAAAATTCCTGAACATTGTGAAAGTGAAAATTTGTTCTTCAAAATCAGTAGAAATTTTCATTTTTGCAGTAAGCTTTTACTTGCTGTGCTGCAAGCTTCTTCGGACCTTTGTCATAGCTGGCGCTGTTGCTTACGCAGTTTAACGAAAGTCATGGTTTAACCGAAAAGGTCCAGGTTGAGGCACAAAATCTTTAATTTGGTATTGACATGAATATCACGTTGCCTTATCTTTAGATAATTGTAGGATATAATGGCAGAAAAGATATCAAATATACAATTTTTTCTAACTTCATTCAATCATAGATATTTCCATCATGTGGATATTTTCTTACTTGGAAAGTTGGCTGTGGCTTCTTAAACTCCTTTGGGGTTAGAAATCATCCTACAGTATCACTATAAAATCATTTACATTTGAAGCCAAAAAAGGAATTGGCATTCTCTCCAAACTTGAATTTTGAAAATGTAATATTGTGTAACAGATGTGCCAAACTCTGAATGGACCATTTAAGCTGAAAACACAATACCAGTGGAATGTAGGCTTACATAGTATTTTAGCCATATGATCAAGGAACACAATAATGTACATAGACTTGTTTTTATATATTATCACAATAAGAATATAATGTGCTTTTGTCATTTTATCACATTGATATGCATAAAACAACTGCCATGATACACCAAGAAAATCATTGTTCAATTGCTAATTTTTAGCTGTTTTAGTTGTCTGAATTATGATGTGATGTGTAAGTACATGGTTTAATAACTTATGCGAATGAAATGAATGCATCTCTGTCAAGATGAAGATTTTGCAGACCATTTTCATTTGGATGCTGAGTATTTCAAAAAGAGAGAGGGGGGGGGGCGACTGAGAGAGACAGAGAGAGAGAAAGAGAGAGAGAGAGAGAGAGACGGACGGACATCTGGCAGTGAATTGGATGGATTGATTGAGAAATTCTGTTCAATGAGGAACACTTTCTTTTTGTAATAAGTGGTTAGGCATAAAAAAGATGTTGCATCGCCCCTTTGCGACCGACCCAAAAAATCTTAAAATCTTTGTTCAGCTTTTTAATACATTTTTTTTTTGGTACCGTTCTTTTATAAATAAAATTTTGAATGAATAATTAAATATGGATTCTGTTTGTTTGTTTAAATGGGATAAAAATGCATAAAATCATCAAATTGCTCCTGTAATTCTCACTGGTCTTCTGCCCTAGTTTTTGTAATCCTGCTAGCATAAACAAGTAGACCTCTGCCTCGTGTACGTGTATATACCATGCACTGCACCAGCTAGAAACCAGCATTTTTTTATTTAGGCGACGTTCCCGTTTTTTAGGGCAACGGTTGCTGTTTAATATGAGGGGGAAAAAAAAAATTATTGAAAAAACAAATCCTACTGATCGACCCAGATTCAGGCTTCTAAAGGGCAATACAACATCTCTTTTTTTTCTCGGCCTCGTGATCATAAAGATAAAGAAATATATTGGGGAAACTTAATCCTTTAATTGTTCAAAATATTGGGAGTGATGCTGCATGGTAATTGGAGAAATAAATGGAAAATTATTCTTGTGGCCAAATCTCAGATCAAATTTCAAATGAAAAGATAGCCCTACTGATATGAGGATGAGGAAGATGATGATGGGGGATGGTGATAATAACGAGGGTGAATATCAATTAAGACCAGTGGCAGATCCAGGGGGGCCCAAATGGCCAGGCCCCCCCCCTCCCCTCCTGGGAAAAAAAAACATGTAAAAACACGTGATTTTTAGCTTTTTTTGGGGGGGGGGTGCAAATTTTCAAATTTTTGAGGGCCCCTCCCCCACTGAGCAACTTTTCGGCAGGCGCGATTGTCAAATTTTTGGAAGCAAAAAAAAAAATTTTTTTAAATAGTGCTCTCTACCCCCTCTCCCCCCACTGAGCTACTTTTCGGCCCCCTCCCCTGAGAAATCCTGAATCTGCGCCTGCAAGACTAATTGATTATCTAATGCACAGGCACGTAGCCACGAGGGGGGGGGGGGGGGGAGGGGGCACATGCCCCCTAAATTTCCAAGATCGGTTGAACTTTCTGTATACCCCTCCCCAAGAAGTCGATCAATTACATGTATGTGCCCCCCCCCCCCCCCCCAAACATCAAACTCTGGCTACGGCCCTGCTTAATGCAATCAAGATTAATGTACAGTAATGCATGTGAATGCCTACTAAAATTAAGTAAATTGGGTCAATATGTGAGATGGGTAAGAGGCCTGGAATGAGAAAAGGAGTAAGAGAAGAGAGACAGAGAGAGGAGAGAGAGACAGAGAGAGGGGGAGGCAGCTGACACCAGCGAGGATGAGGAGAGTAAAGAGGGGGGGGGGGGTGGTTGGCTCTGAATATTGCAGCTGCGTTGTAGTTTCGATTCCAGCCTTATGTTTGTATAATCGTCAACATTTCTACTATTACCAAACTATTGTGGAATTAAAGCCAGTCATTACATCTAGATCTAAATTATTGTACCTTTTATCCATTACGATTGGAATCAAAACAAGATTTAGATATTTGTGGGAAGACCCCCGTCAAATTTATTTCATTTTTTTTTTTTACAAATAAGTGACTGTAAGCCAGACTAAAAAACGTCATTTCGGCCAACACAGTAAAAATGGCTACCTCGGCCACTACCGCTCCTGCCGGAGTGCAGCAGATTCAGGCTGTTTTCATGAAAAGCAGCGTTGTTGTGAAATCAATTTGTGGTGTGATCATTTTTCTATATTTCATATCGTTCCTGGTTAACAATGACAAGTATTTGGAAGCTCTTGCTGTAACTCCAGGCCTCATATTTCCACCAAGTTTTCGCGTCTGGACGTTGTTTACACACCCGTTTATTGAAGTGCATTTGTGGCTTGTTCTCCACGACGTGGCTCTTGTGTTATTATGTGGCAGACTCATCGAACCTCTGTGGAGTGCACTAGAAATGTTGATTTTCTTCGCTATTGTAACAGTTGGTTCAGCGATCATAACTTCATTTCTTTATTTGTTTATGTACCTATCAACTGTAAATATTACATACCTTTTTGATACACACATATTTGGACTCGCTGGGTATGCAGGAGCAGTGACGATCGCTCTCAAACAGTCGATGGGAGATGGGGAATTGCCACCCAAAGTGGCAAGATTGAGAGTGCACCATCTTCCAGTTTTGCTCCTTGTATCATCGTTTTTGCTTCGGTTTATAGGAATAGTACCACCCACACATCCGTTCATGATATTAACAGGTGCTTTCAATATATTTGATTTGGTTTCACTTTATACAGATCTAAATTCTAAGTAATATTTACAAAAATACAGTCAGACGTGTTTAGACCTTATTCCTGTAGGCCTACATCCAAGTCAAGGGAGCTGGGAGCTCCTTCACCTCTGGCATATTGCATTTGGTTAGAGGAGCAGAGGTCATTTGCAGGCACGTAGCCATGGGGGGGGGGGGGGCATGTGCCAAAAAAAAAAAATCCAAGATCGGTTGAACTTTTTTAAACCCCTTTTTTTTACCTCGATCGATTACATGTAGACCTATGTGCCCCCCAAACATCAAACTCTGGCTACATGCCTGGTCATTTGAGTTAGAATATTACTTTATTTGTTAGATCTAGTAGTCCAGATTTGAAAGTATTATGCCTAGGTAATTATGCCACAAATTTGTTGAAGAAGTATTGATTGAATTTGCATTGTGTGGATTGTTTTGCTGCAAAAATGTGTACCTCCCCCTATATGGCCCTTGTCAGGACAAAACAATGCTAAAGTGGTGCAGATTTGCGACAGAAATTTTGAATTTGGATGTCACACCCTCATCTCCTCTGGTAATCCCTAAAACAAAGATCTCCCATATTTTATACCGGTAATGATTCATTAATTATGGTATGTTGCTATGAATAATATGTTACTAAATTAGTTTTTCATTATTTATCAGGTATGTTGACAGGATGGGTGTATCTTCGGTTCTACCAGCGACAAACAGATGGAAGCAGAGGAGACATGGCCGACACTTTTTCATTTGCAAGCTTCTTCCCAGAGGTTATTCGACCATTTGTTGCTATATTAGCAAACACGGGTAAGAAACACCAGACCATTTGCCACCTGGAAAGGGGAAAAATGTATAGATCACCCCCTCTCCAATAATACCAACAACTTTTAAAAACATATCTACACAACAAATGTACCATGTACAGTTTTTAGTGTTTTAGATAGGGTTAAAAAATCTTGACCATAAACAGATCTTTATTCGTTTCCACTAATTTTGCAAGTCCTTTTGAATTCTTGAATGAAAATGAGCATACTTGTGCATGTGTACCCTTTAAGATATTTTTCTCCATACCGGGTAATTCAAAAAGGTAGGCACCTTTTTGCTTTCTCTCTTATCTCTTTTTTAGACAAATTATTGGGGGTATGACCAGCATTTAAGAACTTTTTTCCATATAATTTGCAACAAGAACAAGTGTATTTTTTTTACAAAAGAGAGTATGTTGGTACTGAATTTATATATAATATTTGACAGCACCAGTTTAGGTTTATGAAGGGTTTTAAATCTAATTTGTACATGCATGAATAGCGAACAGCTTCAGTGTTCTTTGTGATGGGCATATTAAAAATGCATTCCACTGAGATCATGATAATGGTTCATTGAAATGCACTGGTAGTGGTACCCTCATGTTGTATTTGATCCACATACTGTCTGCCGAGAGCTGGATGGATGTTAACTCATACCATGTTATACAGATTTAATACCTTTCTGGTATTCAATAGTTGATAATCCCTCATGTGCTTTTGGCTGATAGGGGCTAATCTGGAGGATACAGTCACAAAAACAATCAATAATAATCCCTCTCACACTTAACACTGTATGTATTTGCTGTGTTATTAACTGCATGTTTCTCAGTGACACAGGTGTAAGGTACTCAAAAAAAGTCTTTGCATATTGACACAGTCTAAATCCATGATTTATTTCCTTGATACTATTTCAAATCAAGTGTAATGATTCACTGATTTATTAATTACCTGTACCATATTGTTTGATTAGACTATCACCATTTACCCTAAACTGTGACCATTTTAAAGGATTAGATAGATATATCTTCCCTGGCAATGTTGAATTTTGAATTTTCCTTGGGGGAAAGACAAGTGCTGAAATGTCCATTTATATTTCTTGAATTAATCTTTCAAGTTTAACAAAAATTGTGTATATAAGCTATGCTACATTGTATGTTGTAAATTACTAGAGGAAAAAATGATTTGCCTATAGATATTTACTCATAAATGCAAAAAGAAAGTTTGGTTTAACAGTCCAGTTATATTCACGACTCATAGTGTTAACAATATGTACAGAGTCGGGCTAACTCGGACCCGGGGTCAACTCGGCCACGCTAAAAAAAACGGTCAGTTTTTGCAGGGTAAGGGTAAAATGACCCAAAAATGACAGTTTTTGGAGCGGGCCGAGTTGTCCCAGATCCACATGTACAGTATGTATACCAGGTACTGTGGTGCTGAAAATGCATTCATGTTCTTCAGTTCTTGTCTGAGATTTGCTAATCCTGGGAAGGACCTAGAAAATAACTGGACTGCAACCTGGCATTCTAGCCGGAATGCAACCTAGCATTTCTTCTTTTTTATTCAATGGGTACTCCAACCAAGATGACCAATGCACAGGTCTTAGAACAATTTAGACAAAAGTAAAAGAGTGAACATAAAAAGTTTACTCAAGGAGGATAAGTAAACATACTTTACATGTTGATGTAGGGAGAGGGCTTCTGAACAAAACATTGTTATGAGGGGGAAAAAGCAGTCTGGATTGAACAATAGAACCTCTAGTGCTTTATACCGGTCATCTCTTTGAAGCGATTGACCACATTACAATGGATGAATTGACTGCATTCACTATAATGTGCAGGGTGTCTCAGAAAAAAGAAACCAAAGTTGCATGGTAAATTACTCAATAAATCCCATACTATGTCTTGATTGATGTAGAAAATCATTGAAAAGGTTAATTTCTCTTCTTTTATACAACACCAAAAATATAATCAATATATCATGCAAGACCAATTTTAAACAGTCTGAATTTGCAGTGTTGGAAACCCAGTTGTCCAAAACAAGCAAATGACTGTTTCATTTAATTCATTATGGTTTTAAAAAACGAAGTATTCTAATCTTTCTTATGATACTATAATTATAATGAAGGATCATGCATGACTGAGCAGGCACAATTGTAATTGGTAAAGCACATTGATATTTGTTCAGCTCCCTCAGGCATCATTCAATTCCTACAAGAAAATGTCAATGTGCCTATCAGTTACAAATTATGTTGCCTGCTCAGTCATTAGTGATCCTTCCATCATTATTAGGGTCTCATATTATATATGCAAGAAGAAAATATGATTTTTGAAATTATGTGTAATTTTGACTATTGTGGATTTAAAACAATTTCATATCTTTTCAAAACCAAAATGAATCAAATGTAGCAGACATCCATTTATTTTGGACAATTGGGTATCTGACACTGCCACTGCATGCTGTCTGAAATCGACCATGCCAGACTTATTTATGAATTATTTAATGTCATATGTAAGAACAGAAATTAAGCTTTCCCATCATGTACATGTATATAATGACCAAACTAATTAGGAATCATCAAGTAATTTAGCCATAAACTTATATGGTAAGTTTCCTTTTATTGAGGGTCACACTGTAAACTTGATTTTAAGTTATATGCAGAACATTATTGAAATTAAAGTTTTAAAAATTTAAGCAAATTATCTTCAATTATCATGAATTATCATTACTCATCTCAAATTATTTCTGATAAAAGGCCATTCTTTTTCCTTGTCTTGCATTCTTTTCTTTTTTACAGTTCACAGTGTGCTAGTAAAGATCAAGGTGTGTAAGAAGCAAATAAGGAAATATGATGTTGGTGCACCATCTCCAATCACAATTAGTCTACCCGGTACAGACCCTGCAGATGCTGAAAGAAGAAGGTAAGCCTGTCTGTGTTGATAGGATGCTTAGGCCCAACTGCACAAATTATAGCTACTTGCGCCCTCTATATAGCAAACAATGCCTAATCGGTGACCATTGGTCCGCCATGATCCTCTTGTTCTTATGTTAAGTGAGAGCTGATTTGATGAGATAACCACCTGTCAGTGACCTTGCAGGGAGGTCCAATCCCTCCTGGCTAAACTAGTGCAGTGGGGCTTTAAAATACACAGTATTGCCAAGTGTGCTTCTTGATCAAGGATGAAAGTATACTCTACTTGACAATTAATAAAATAAATATAGTGTAATTAGATTTGAAGCTACAAATCTGTGACTCTTAAACTTGTGTATGGTATTGTTCAAATGGTATAGATTATTCTAATTTTCTAAATGAAGCCTGCGTTTAGAAAACTTTAACAAATTTCTGCTTTGAGTCGTGCATGCTGCATAGTTGAGAAAAAAAACACTTCAACATGTTTGTTTTTTTTGTTTTTCATGAATCGTTCTCCCAACACTTTCTAAAATCTGCAGGCAAATAGCTCTGAAGGCCTTGAACGAACGACTGAGTAAGGTTGAGGAACAGACGGCATGGCCTAGCATGGATGACCAGCTTTCTTCTACAGACCCGGCTTCCCCAGCACCTTCAAGCGTCTCCCTCATGAGTGATGCCAACCCTAAGGATAGTGTAGAGATCAACCTGGATGATCCAAGATCCAGCGGGATCGCCTAGCATTGAGGCCGGGAGGCAGTAGGGTTGGAGAGTTGTATTTTTTTTGGTATAAGGAATAGAGCAGAGAAGATGGTGGTCGTGAGTCTCTGATATCTTAGCACGGAACCTTGAACCTTTAAAAGGTACAGCCTTAGAGGTCAATTACATGGACGAATTGATTTGCTACCTTCAGTTTTATGGTCTCTACATGAAACTGTTAATAAATTTAAAGGAAACTCCTCAAAAGATAAGGAGTCTATTGCTGTACATGGAAGAGATAAAGGTGGTTTGATTCTTTGCTCATTGTTGGCCAAGTCAGATAATTCATTTATGTATTAGTATGTGATTGATAGGCTTCAAAGTGCATCATTTCTTGGTGTGTTTTTTTTTTCACAGGGAAATTGCAAAAGAGGGATCTGTCAGCTTGAGGGAATTTCACCATTACAATGTAGCTTGTTTATTACTTGTTTTGTACATCTAAACTGAATTAACATTTATTTGGGAAATGTGTAAATTTTTCATATATAGCGAAGAGCTCTGCAAATAGAGGTATTTATGCTCAATAAACCCAGAAATGTATTAAAAGAATCATTCTTTGTTAGTGGTGCATGTAGCTATAAAATGGTCAACCTGTGTCTTGAGTTATGTATGTTATAGTACCAGAATCTATATACATGTAACAGGTACCTTGTATTTGATCTCAGTACATACAAATATATAGGTGGACTAACCTGTCTTTATTCATCAATCAAGCTTCCTCTATGAAAATACGAGAAATGTTTAATGGTAACTGCTTCTGCAAAACTGTATGTTTTGTTTCTTTCTATTATGACCACGGTGTGATGTGATATTGGAGTTAGTAGAGGTCTAATGGGCATGACAATTGTGATTTTGTAGTTCCTGAAATGCACTTGTTATTGTGTATGTACATGTACATGTATGTGAAGTTATTATTTATGATGGAATATAACCAATTGTGATCATTCAGCTGCCCAATTTGGATCAATGATAGCGCAATGAATGAAAGTGATTTTGCTTTGATAATCTACTGGTTAATTTTTTTAAAGGTATGTGAATATAATGAATGGAAGAATCACCCTGTATTACCCCTATCACATGTCTTTATCATAAAGAGCAGAACACGCTCTTGCAACAGTGATATTGAGTGAATGTATGAAAAATCATATAAACAATGCACCTGTAATTCAGTGTTCAGTGTGTCTTTTGACATTTTCCAGCAGACACATCTCATTTTCCACAAAATTTATGTGAATATAATTAATGGAAGCAGTGAAAAAATACACGGGGGCTCGGGGCGAAATAGCCCCCAAAATGCCCAAAAGAGCCCCAGAAAATCGGAATAGAGCCTCCGTAAATTTGCATAGAGTTCAATATAAAACAAATTTTAGAATGTTATTTTCATGCAGGCAAGCTTGAAAAGTAGCCCCCGAAAAATAAATATTAATTTTTTCCCTGATTGGAAGAATCGCCCTGTATTACCCCTATCACATGTCTTCATCATAAAGAGCAGAACACGCTCTTGCAACAGTAATATTGAGTGATGAAATGTACAGAATGTATGAAAAATCATATAAACAACGCACCTGTAACTCGGTGTGCAGTGTATTTTGACACTCTTCCAGCAGTTACATCCCATTTTCCACAAAATTTATGTAAATCTTATTCCAGTTTGCCCTGTCCAATACACCAATGAAATTATTTAAAAGTGCCATTGAACATCATTTGTTCCTCGTATTGTATTACTTATTTATAATACGTTCCTCAGTTATGTATTCTGTTCTTGTTATGAAATTTTAATCATACCGGTAGTTAACGAATACCCTCCTTTCTTTTGTGTGTAAATGTATGCATTTTGTCGTATTTTGTTGTAATAGTATTGAACATGTAATGAATTATTATTCTTATACCGCACACTATCCACTCTCAAGATATACTTACTATACATGAAAAACAAAGACATACTTGACACAAGTGTCTCTCTCTTCACTCATAGAATTTAATGATTAAACAAGTGCTTCCACTACATTATGGTGGTTCACAAACATGATTATATATGTATACAGTTAAAAACTAAATTATTCATACCCTTACCAAGTTTTGTAATTTTTTAAGTATGTCAAAAATTGATTTGTCCCAATTTGTATTTCTTGAAAATGTGAAATATCAAAGCTTACTTCTAAAATTATTCAATAAAGGCCCTAATTCAATCAGTCCAACTTTGATTCTTAAATATAAACTTGAGTTCTGGTAAAAAAAAGAAAATGAATTCTCACAGAATCTAACGAAACTTACACTGAATGTTCAAGATTACAAATAAATGTCATGTGCCAAACAATTTTGGAAGAAAATTTATACTGGCTGAGTAATGAGCATAGAAAGATAACAAATCAGGGTAGTACTAGCCCTGACACCATATGTGTTGTCCCATATACATCTTTCTGTGTAAGTGATTGTTACTTTACCAAGACTCTGCCAAATTTATGATGATTTTGAAGACTCCAGAACCTTGCATTACACACCATTACTTACATGCTATATGATCAACTTTTCTGATCCATTCCACACCTTTTCTTTCACAATGCAATCGCATCACCGGTACTCAAGTTTATCTTTAAATTACAAGAATACAAAAATATCAAACTTACAAGGAGTATGAATAATTTAGTTGTTGACTGTATGTCATTAATGGTAGAGCAACAGCAAGTTAATATCTCATAAGTTTGATGTTAATGTTAGTCCCTTTTTCTTTTAAGTGTATGCAAAGAACAATGAATGTGTAATTCACATAAGTGTGCTGTAGAATGCATCATATGCAATCTATAAAAGTTTATTTTGGGAAGAAATAATGCGTTTAATAGAAGAGTACTGTTCCGTAGAAAGAGCATGAGCCTATAAATTTATACCAAGTCGCAGTACATGTAAAAACTTTGAATAGATGGCGAGATAATATTTGATGAGGCAATCAGTTACCAAATACATGTAATATGAGTCTCACTCTTCACATGGCTGAAATTAAAAGCGCTTTGTCATTTGTTGTGCTTATTATGTCTGCATACAATCAATATATTATGGTACTCCAACGTAATAACTAACATAGAATTTTATTTCAAGTTTAGTAATATACCAAGTCAATCATCCGATTTGTCATAATAGGTTGTAAATTTTCCTGATTACTCTTGATAATGATAATGATTGAAATAAAGCATTAATAAAAATCAAGATTAAACCAGCAGTTCAGTGTGTGGAATTATTACTTAAATAGCTCCTTAATCTTGGCTGTAAATGGATGAAATAAACTGAATAACAAGCTTACAACTTATCAAAATTACATGAATAATAAACTGCTTATTTTCAAAATTCATCTCGCTGAACATCCTAGAAACTAAAATAGCATTTCACAAACACCATCCAAAACGTTTCAGATTCACCAGCATGTTTTCCCACTTCATAAGACGATATTCACAATGTGGGCTTTCACAAATACAGTAATCACAATTAACTGTTTATACGTGGTGACATTTAATGTCTCGTTGACCTACATGACTACACAACTTTTTATAAATACAAGTACCACATGTGTTACACAAAATGTTACATCCAATAAAGGTAGAACTTGTGCATTACCGGTACACCTAATTTGCAATTGAAAGTAATTATTTCATTTATATTCCGATACCGTATACAAGATCATATTCTGAATAAGTATTACCAAACAATGTGGCAGATTGCAACAACAAAAACATCAACAATGGCTCGGCCAACAAACACAAAGTTAGTATAGAACACTTACTGTAAAAGTACAAAATAATGCGCACATTATCTTTAAAATGTTGTATTACATGAGAAATATAAAGGCAATGAGTTCACAATAGGAAAGATGACAAAATAATGTATTTAATTTATGAAAAGGCACATTATGTGAATTGAAGACATATGTCTTCAACGTTCAGCCCAGGAAATAGCCCTGTAAAGGGAAAAATACGGGGAGGGGGAGGGGGAGAGGGGGGGGGGGAGAGGGGGAGAGAGCGAGAGCGAGAAAGATATAGAGGTAGAGATCCAAACAGAAAGAATGAAAAAGGGACGCACAATAAAGAGTGGGAAACAGAGAGAGAGAGAGAGGGAGAGAAAATAAAAAAGATCAAAGATGCAAAAAGAAAAAGTATTGTAAAGAGATGGAGAAAGAGAGAGAGAGAGAAGGGGGGGGGGGGGGAGGAGGGAATGGTAAATAAACAGAAACATAAAAAATCATAAGATATGGCTTACACTAAATATTTCTTGTTGAAAACAATCAAGCATGTTTAGAAAAACAAAATCACAATCATTAATGTGAAATCATTATCAACACGAGAGAGAGAGAGGAAAACGATATGTCTAACATAAAATAATATTTTTTAGTAAAGTCTTCAACTAAAAAAATAATTCCCAACTGGTAATCAAGCACAAAGGATATTTCAGTTTTCAGTAAATTTCAGTTTATCCTTACAGCCACGTTAACTATAGGTTTTATATTGCCCATTTTAATTTTCTTTATCAATAAATGGTGAAGGTTACTTTTCTTAACTTTTTTTTATAATCAGAAAAAAGAAGAAAAAAAGAAAAGGTATGACATTCATTAATCTCTAATCCATTTGAGGGCTTAAAAAAAAAGATGTTGTATTGCCCTTTAGGTGCCAAAACATGGGTCGGTCGGTCGGAAATCTTTTTTTTCTTCAAATACTTTGTTATACTTTTTTTCTTCTCAGTTTTGAATGCTTTAATGCATTTTCCCCCTAAAAAACGGATATAATTATATTGACAACATAAACATTCAAGGAATGCATATTACTGCTAACATCATGATTGACCTATGACTCAATAAATCCTGTTTTTTTAAAAATTGATTAAAAACAATTTTAAAGAAAGAAATCCCACTTACCATGTCTGATTACCAGTGTCTGACATAAGACATGGTAATAGGTGCTGTGGAAGATCTGCTCCCAAGCAGGATTCCACCAGTCCTCAAGCCCGGAATCCTTCCGGGTCATGATGGATAAACCTCGAGTCGAACAGTTAAACGACTTTCCCTCTACTGGAGAAGCGTCTGCCATACTCACATACTTTGTCGTGTATATTGCATGAACCTATATATATATATATATATATATATATATATATATATATATATATAGAAAACAAAACATGAGACACTGTTTTATTTGAATTTATTTTATTCACCCAGTCAAATTAAATTAAAATGCAAAAAAGTATTTAAAAATATGACAGAAGCAGATCCACGATGCTACAGTGGAGGGGTGGACATGCATGTTTGAAAAATCCCCTGACAATTTTTTTTTGGTCACATATGTAGGGGATCGATGCCCATTGGCTGTCGACTAAGGGGGTGCAGATGGTGATGGGAAAGGGGGGGGGGGGGAGGTTTCGTATCAGAGACAATTTATGGTTAGTTTGACATACCTGATTGGTTCTCAATCCTGCTTCTGCATCAGCGGGTGTAAGGTAGTGAAATATCTGCTCAGTCTTCAGAGGTAAACCCTAGACATAGGAACACAATGAATACAAGGGAATGTATTATGAATATAATAAAGTAATTGTATGAAAAGAGGTAATGTCATTATCACCAGATTTTAAAATGATGAATTTAAATCAAGTTTGATTAAGAGAATGTTATCTAACCGCTATTTTACAACATCAAAAACTTTGTACTATTCTCATCCGTCTTGAACCTGGTGCAAATGATTTGGCTTCATCCCACATCATCCCTCCCGATAACTCCATCAGAACTTCCTCTTGCAAAAAAATGTATAAGTGTTGACCGTTTTGAGAAGATTATAACAGGGACAGTTTTCCTGGTTATTGAAAGAGAAGGCCTTAAGTTGGACAAAGGTTTTTCACCGATTGACTCAAACAATATGTCATGGCTCAATAATCTTTTCATTTCCCTTCATCACTATCAATGGGGGGATTATCCTTTCCTAAACAAAAAAGCGTACATACCGGTACCCATTCATATTTTACCGTTCAGACACTAAATAATTTTATATCAAAGTTTCATGCTACATCCATCTTTTGAATATTATTATCCGCTTCTTTGTTACTAAAACATATCCGTCTGTTACCTGGATATATCAATGTATGTTACAATGTCTGTTACCTGAATATATCAATGTCTGTTACCTGGATATATCAATGTCTGTTACCTAAATATATCAATGTCTGTTACCTAAATATATCAATGTCTGTTACCAGGATATATCAATGTATGTTACCTAAATATATCAATGTCTGTTACCTGGATATTTTCTTGTCTGTTCCTTTACTTTCAAATAACCTTCAAAATTCACTAACGTAACATTTATTAAAATAGACCTTCAATTTCTTATTATTATTTAATAAATATACTAGATAGGCAATATTTTTGCAATTTAAGTCCAGCTATTCTGTATAATCTGTAATGCCTTTTTGCTTTGCATGTTCCAACTACTCTGTCTGTTATACCTGAATATTATCCTGTCTGTTTAAGCAATGTTCATCACTTGCATAGCCGTCAAGGAATCCGATTTTCTTTCCCTGCATGTCAGAGGTGTCAAAACTAGACTTTCCCGATGACGCGTTTAGCGTAAAGAAAGCGCTAGGGAATGGCTTGGTGTAAGGCTCAGTGAAAGCAAATGCCCTTCGCCTTTCTGGAGTTTGTGACCAACCTGGAAAAAATACAATGTTCATCAAGAATCGGCTGTATATTAGAAAACTGGTTTTGAAATTTAAAAAAATATTTATAAATAATAAAAAAATCTTTAAAAAATGCTGTAGGCGTGAAGCATATGTGCCTCTATATAGGTATCAGGATGACCGGGTCTGTAATTGACACCATGGAATACCAGCTCAGTATCAAGATGCCACGCCCACCTTGGATTGACCTCCTGAATGTTTGGGGGTAAACTCTGGAGTAACTTGAAGAAGAAATAACAGCAGGGAACTTTCACTTTGGATTGATGATAATTATTGTTGACCGTCGAGGTACATTGCAAATTCTGAGACCTGATTCATGAAACTTGAAAGTGTGTGTGTGTGGGGGGGGGGGGGGGGGGGGGAGTAGTGAGCACTATTTTTGCTCCCGAAATTTTTGATAATCGCGTCGGCCGATAATTCGCTCAGTGGGGGGGGGGGGGGGGGGTAGTGAGCAGTCCAGCGATCAAAATACACGGGGGCGGTGGGCGATTCGCCCCGTGAGCTCCATAATCGCCCCCGTCACGATCACGGGGGCGATTGCAAAATTAAAAATCGCCTCCATGGAATTATAAAATTAAGATTATCTTTTCTGATATAACTTTAACACAATATTGAGTATTCATTTTCAAACCTTAAACCAATGAAATGGACCTTAGCTTAGATGGCGCTTTCTCTACCATCTCTACGAGTATTCCCGATACAAACAACGGAAGCTCGCGGTGCGGCCGTCAGCACAGTGGCTATACTGCGCTGGTAGTACCGGTGTGCACGCTGACGCCCAATATCTGCTGGAGCTGGAGATCGACAATCGCGCAAGGACTAAAACATGGAGAAGTTTTTCGTTGTAAAAGTTTGAATCCTCTGAAATCTGGTGATTCTTAAAGACCCGCAAATAATGTAACCCGACCAGTAAATCAATATTGAAAAGAAGAAGAAGGCATAAGATGTTGCAGGGGCGGATCTAGGCGGTTTAGGGAGTTTAACCCCCCCCCCCCCCCTCCGGCCCTTGGGTTGCCAAGGAAAAATGTGATGTGCAAAGAAAAATGCTATCATGAGTCCAGACCTACACAGTATAGTAGATGTCAGTAGATGCCAGGAAAACACCACTAATATAGCAACAAAAAAAAATCGCCTCGCCGCTACGCGGCTCGTGGACGATGCTCCACATCGTTATTTGGGGTACCCCCCCCCAACCTTAGCAAAAAGCTTGATCCACCCCTGTGTTTTGGAAGGATTTGGTAAAGACTAAAAGTAAAAAAAGAATGTAAATAAGGTTGCTCCGAATAATGAGGAGGAAATTATGTGCAGAACGGGAAGAAATGGAGAAAATGTCCTCACGGGAATAAAAGTCAATAACAGCAATGTAACAAGTAAATTTCTAAGAGGAAAAATACCGACTTAGATAAATGATAATGATAAAATACCAAGGAGTTTCACGGGTACCAATTCAATGGAAATTTGTATTAAAATAAGAGCCCCCGTCAGCACTTAAATCGCCCCCGTGAGAAGGCTCACGGGGGCTTTTTTTCTTTTGGAAGAGCCCCCGTGGGCAAAAAATTGATTTGAGCCCTGGTGAGCACATTTCTTTTATTTTTGTTGGGGGGGGGGGGGGGGGGCCTCGGAAATTTTAAAAATTGCAACCCCCCCTCCCCCTTGAGCGCCAGGGGTGGGGGCCCATCTCCAAAAAAAAGTTAAATTAACGTGTTTTACACATTTTTTTTCCCCAGGGGAGGGGGCCCATGGATCCGCCACTGGTTAAGGTGAAACAAATCTTTGGTAAAACATTCTGTACACAAATGATCTTACTTTCATAACTACATAATGTGTATTGTACATGTAGTATATAATATAAGCGCATCGGGACAATTACCCCCTGGACAATCGTGCCCCTGGAAAACAAACCCGAGGAAAATCACCCCTGGGACAATTATCTTCCAACCCCCTCAGGGTAGTCTACCCTGATAATAAGCATTTTTTTTTTTTTTTTTTTTTTTTTGGGGGGGGGGTAATTTATTGTCCTAGGGGGGGGGGGTGGTTGTCATCAGAGATAATTGTCCTTGGGGGGGGGGGGTAATTTTCCCGCTAGTAATTGGCCAGGGGTTGATAGTTCAATAGGGTAATAGTAGTAGTTATAGCAGCAGCAGCAGCAGTAATATAGTAGAATTAGAAATAATAGATATTAAAATCTCTCTTTGGAGTCACACATTATGTGACTCCCGTTTCTTATACAACACTGCGATACCTACCAGCACATGCATCATACCAGCCTCCGTTGAGACCTACTCCACCCGTCGCAGGTGATCCCTTCTGAGATATCCAGCAGTTTGTGCGTTGATCAGTCACTATCTCACATTTCTTACCCGCCACGTGACATACTGCAAAGAGATGGAAGGGGATTGAAAACACGGGAGAACAATTCGAGAAATAGTAAGTGCGTGTTGAAATGATGAAGGTGAAAGTGTATAGTTTCAGGGGTGGATCGGTGAGGAGTCACGGGGAGGGGGAGGGGGAGGGGAGGGGAGGGGGAGGGGGAGGGGGAGGGGGAGGGGGAGGGGGAGGGGAGGGGGAGGGGAGGGGGAGGGGAGGGGGAGGGGGAGGGGGAGGGGAGGGGGAGGGGAGGGGGAGGGGGAGGGGAGGGGGAGGGGAAGGGGGTCCCGACAAATAAAATAATGCCTATGTTTACCAATTTAACCCTATAAACCAGGGGCAGGGACTAACTTATTTTTCACTTCCCTCCCCACCCCCCTCCCGCGCGAAGCGTGGAAGCTTTGTGCACTTCACTTAATTATTAGAGAAAGAAGACGATCCGTTGTGGCGCGAAGCGCAGAAGCTATGACGTTTCATTTAATTATTAGAAAAAGAAGACGATTCGTTGAACCGTTCTCGACTCTTAATCCTAGTCTGAATTCAGTTGTCCCCCACCTGCGCAAAGCGCTGAAGCTTTGACGATTCAATAAATTATTAGAGAAAGAAGACGATTCGTTGTACCTTTTTCGACTCCTGATCCTTGTCTGAATTCTCCCCTCCCGCGCGAAACTCCCCCCCCCCCCACCTTTAGCGACGCCCCTGCTTGTTATCCCATTATTGTTATCTCTTCTTTCGTTGTTTCATTCTCTTTTTCCCCTTTTTCCATCTCTTTTTTTTTGTTCTTCTTGTCCTTTTTTGTTTTTGTTTTTGTTTTTGTTTTAGTTTGTTTGTTTGTTTGTTTTGTTTTGTTGTTGTTTTTTTTTTGTTTTTTTTGGGGGGGGGGGGGGCTAAACGCCTGGCAAGAGGGACCCCATATAATGCACACTGCAAAGTTTCGTGCCCCCCCCCCCGCCTCTCCCGGTAAAACAAACACCATCTTATAGTATTATCCCCTTTTTTCTCTCCACAGTCTTTCCCCTTTCTTCCTTTTCTACATTTGCCACACTCTACCCAGGTGAAGAAATTAAATGGGTACCTAGTAGGAGTTTATTCCTTGCAATGCTAGAGCGCCGTATGCCAGCCGTGCTAAAGCCAGTGTAATAATCGGGAGCGCCAGGAGGGTCAAATCTGACTGACATGAGCGCTATACAAGAACCCATTTTTATTATTATTATTATTTTCCGCCTTTTCTCTCCTCTTTCTTCCCCTTTTTTCCTTTCCCCTCCTTTGTCTCCTCTCCCCTTTTCTCTCCTCCCCCTTTTCTTCTTCTTTCTTTTCCCCCTTCCCCTTTTTTTTACCGGGGGGGGGGGGGGGAGGCACGTGCCCCCTGCCCCCCCCCTGAATCCGCCACTGCCACGTTTTGCCAGATTGGACACTATTTTGCCTGATAACTGAAACCCCTTATTTGCTTGTAAGAAGTTTTTGGGGAAAATCCCCTTTTACAACTTGAATCCTGAAGCCGCCCCCTCGGTTTCGGTAAAAGTAACAGAAAGAAAAAAAGATGAACAGAAAACTGTGATGGGTATAATTATCGCGGACACGGGATTGGGAACGTTAATTTTCAATATTTAAGCGGGACAAAGACACTGATCGCATATCAGATGACTGTTAGGTCCACCCTGTTTCTAATTTTGTTCTTTTATGCACTTCCTGGCTTTGTCGGTCTCTTTGACTGTCGGTGAAAATATGGGTCGAACAGTGGTTACAAATACAAAGTTTTTGTTGTAGTTGTCTAGAGAGACGTTTTCATGAGTAATGCGAACTGTGATAAGGCCTAAAAAAAAGATGTTGTATTCCCCATTGCGACCGACCCCAAAATCTTAAAATCTACGGTCGGCTTTTTTAAAAAGTTTCTTTTTTTGTTACCGTTTTTGTTAGAAAAAAATCTATTAAAGCATTCAAAACTGAGAAATATCAGCCAAAAGAGGGAGACCAAAAAAAAAAAAATTCCGACCGACCGACCGACCCTTGTTTTGGCACCTAAAGGGCAATACAACATTTGTTTTAGGCCTAACATACCGGCTTGCACCATTTCAACATCGAATCCGTCCATTTGTAAAGTTTTTCCGTCTCTGATAAAAGAAAGAAAATAGAATGAATCAACAAAGAAAAAATTGACACGTAAATTATGTTAAACGCCATTGTTAAGCATAGAAACGATTAAGGAACATGGTGATGAAACGTTGAAAGATAATAGAATATAGGGAAGGATAACCCGTCAGTTTAATAAAGAGAGATAAACAAAAAAAAAGGAAAAAGAAGAACAAAAGGAATATTAGAAAAGATATGAGGAATAAAAGGAATGAGAGATAGAGAGAGAGAGAGATCGAATTACCCTTATAGAAGTTAACAAGTTTCTTTATGTAAATGCATTGTAATGTAACATCTACAGTTTTTTACTAATAAATGATAATCTAAGTGATAAAATCAGATTTTAAAATAGAAAAATGTTACCAAAAATAGTCAAGAAACAGCGGTGACTTATTGTTATAATTAAACATGGTTTGAAAACGCCAGGTGCCAATTAACCAAAGTTCTTTGAATAAAGAAATATTTCCTTACATGTAATGCAATACAAGGTTCGACTGTCCAAGCGCAAACGTCCATGTTTTCTCTGCATGCATGGTAAAAAAGAAGGAGAAAAAACAAATAAATTATAAACACGATTGAATAAAGGCCTTTACATGTAATTTATTAAAAAATTCATTAAAATCCCATTAGACATTAATTTCCTTCAAATCGTATTACAAAAAGTCCTATTAAGCACCCAGACTTCGCAGATTTGATTTGGACGGGGGTGTGCCGCTGAAGCCTCGAAACCCCTACCTAGTTGGGGGATTTTTCTCGAAGTAAGGCCAATTTTCGGGTGTTTAAATGGCAAACATCCGAAAATTTTGGAAATTTTGAAAAAAAGAACCGATGTTTCGTGATTTTGGGGTGAAAAGGTGAACCATTAGAGCGGCACACCCCCGTATGTCTTAATATGCAAGTACCCCCCCCCCGCCCGGTTGTAATCATATCGTAAGCTTATAGCCCCCTTTTAATCTCTCCAACAGCACTCACAGATATGACAATGACGTATAATCTACCATTGATTTCTTCTTCGTTCTATTACTTTCGATCCGGAAGAAGAGAGAATATCATTATTTCTAAAAGAAGACTACCCGGTAGTTATTGATAGACGACGGATGCACTGAGTGGTTACAATAACATTAAAATGACAAAGGAACATGCCGATATAACGACTTCGCGCCTTTTTCGCGGGGGAAAACCACATCAAGTTGCTGAGGAAAAAATGGACGCAAGCAGAATCATTTTTTTTGTGTGAGTGGTCGGACAGCATTATTATACAGTGCGTCCCAGATAAAACGAAACCAAGAATTATCGATGTTTTATCATAACTTAGTCACATTTATAATTAATAAATGCCACATATTTGGACAACTGAGATCCTCCTCTTTCATTTGACGCAACTTATATATGAAGCATATTTCATGCATGTGTGATTAAAATGAATTTGAAGAGAGGATCCAAAAAGTCATATGGCGGACGGTATCTGAATTTCAAAGAGAAAATCACATTTCTAGAAAGTTGAGTTTCTGCCCTTTCATGACACCTCAATCTGGCAAAATGAGCAAGGAATGACACAGCTGTGTTTGTTTAAAGTAGTGCTTGCATTTCCATAATTTTATCAAACGAATTCGTTCTCACTGGCTGCCTGCCGTACCAACAAGCATAATTGACAACAGACTTAACTACATTTCGTTGACAATGAGCCATGCATGAAGTCTTTCGTATACGGCTGATTGTCAACGAAACTGAGTTAAGTCTTTTGTCAACTCTATAATTTGTTGCGACGGCAAGCAGCCAGTGAAAACGAATTCGTTTGATAACATTATGGAACTGCAAGCACTACTTTAAACAAACAGAACTTTGTGATTCATTTATAGTGATTGAGGTGTCATTTGAAAGGGCAGAAACTCAACTTTCTAGAAATGTAATTTTCTCCCTGAAATTCAGATACCGTCCGCCAAATGACTTTTTGGTTTCCTCTCTTCAAATTCATTTTAATCACTCATGCGTGACACATGCATTATATGAGTTGCTTCAAATAAAAGAGGGAGATCTAAGCTTTTCAAATATGCGTCATTTATCAATTATAATTGTGATTAAGTTATGATAAAACATCGATAATTCTCGGTTTCGTTTTTTCTGGGACGCACTGTACAGATCCAATAAAATATCCAGTCAATGTTACCGACAGTGTACAATTCCATTACAGGAATGGTATAGCATGGTTGGGGAAGAATGTTAGAAAAGTACGGGTATTAATTAACCTTGCCTCATTTATTGTATCTATTCATAAGCTATTCATATCAAGTTATTGTATTACGACACAAGGGCCAGCAAACAAACAATGATACGAACATAGTTTGCTCGTTATTAGCAATGGCGTACTGCTGAGGGGCTCTAGAAATATGTGGCGGGGCACGTAAGGCCATATTATAAAAAAAAACATGTTTAGCTTCCTGTTTTTTCGAAAAATAGGAAGGAGGCCCTTTTTTTTTTTTTATCTTTCTTTCAAAATAGCCGCTCAAAGGGGCCGCTCGGTACATTTTCCCTGACAGTCGGGCTATTTTTCAAGATGGCCGCCAACATTTTTTTTTCTTTTTAATTCAGAAATAGATCCATTTTAGCAGTGTTTATCATGTGTTTTTTTCGGGGACGCTAAACATGACTATTTTTGTAAATAGCCTAATACAGGTTTTTCTCAATGAAATGCAATTCAACAAGGTTACTGTTTGGGTGGAGGGTGCGGGTGGGGGACCAGGCATCTTCATTTCTCACCCTTTCCCCTTCATCTTTTCCCTTTACCCTTCCCCCTTTCTATTTTTTCTTTCTTCAAACAAAAATTGTTGTCACCACTCGATGGAGAAGGGGAGGGGGGGGGGGGAGTAGGAGGAGGCACGTGCTCCACGTGGCCCCGAAAGTTATACACAACTGCTTGTGATATCAAGATGAAAGCAGTTTTGTACCGTTGTCCTACATATTTCTTTTGCCTGATGTAGGCCTTTAAATATCATCTGACACTCTTCTGAATTTTAATAGAAAAAAAACTTGATTCATTTAATAGTCTTTGATTAAAAATGACCTAAATCATCTATTTTCTGTGTATCTCTTTCTCTGTCTTTATTTCTGCCTCATCTCACCCCCCCCCCCCTCTCTCTCTCTCTTTCACTCCATTACTCGCTAGACTGTTGTACATTTAGGCGTCACAGCAGGATGACCAAACTGTATTGTGTTTGAAATATATTTATAAACTCTAAAGGGGTATACAAATAATCTATTTATTAGTGACATAATGTATAAGGACAGAATGATCTTTATCACATACACTGTACTTTTTTCCCTTCATAATTATGAATTATATCTCATTAACGTTGTATATCTGTTTGGATGTATCTACATTCTTAAAATCAATATAACATAATTATGTAAAACAGTTCAGAATTGAAATAATTGGGATGCTGTAATTCTAAAGATGCATGAGCTATGTTATGCTCTGGAGCATTGGATTCGGATGTCAATTTGGTTAGTTGCCAAAATAACCATGACAACATGGAGATCTCTCAGAAAAATTCTTTTAAAATACACACAGCTTACAAAATACAGGAAATGTTCTAAAAAATATTGAATGAACTCGTTCATGATAGAGCATTACTCATTCTTAGAATGAGTAACGCTCTATCATGAACGATGTTAGACTAACATATTTTGTTTGCGTCAGAATTATCAACCTTTCTTCAACAGCAATGTCAAAATGAATGATGGGCCTAGATCTTCAAATACGTGTATTTCAAGTGTTCATGATGGGCGCATGAGGTATATATGAAAAAGTCAGATGGTTAAAAGAATAATATGCATATAAACATTTGGAAGCTAGCAGTGAAATTCTATCTTTGAACGTTATGCATGTCGAGTACGATGAGGGCCAAGAAAAATATTAGATTGTTGCCAACTTGCCATTCGCTGTATAGAAACAAGTCATATCATTGTAGCAGCAGTACCTTTAATAAAATGAGTAACAGGTTTGTCTTTACACCTACCATGATATTCTGGTATAGATTTGGCTCATAAACAAATTATATACATTGTACGTGTATACTATGTAGGTCTATGTGCACAAACACTGTCCGTTTGTTTCCGTATAGAATGCAGTTAATATCGTACCGCTAGACTGAACAGACAATACATTGAACCAGGGATTGAACATTATCATAATCCAAATCGTTAACAAAGAAATGTTACAATGTAAATTTGTATTGAAATTGAAAAGGAAAACGAGACGAGAAGAGTATGGGTAAGACTATAGACAGGGATGGGGAAGAGGGGTCGAGAGAGAGAGAGAGAGAGAGAGAGAGAGAGAGAGAGAGAGAGAGAGATGGGGGGGGGGGGAGTCTTAGAGATGGAGTGGAGAGAGCCCGGAGGAGGGGAGAGAAAGAGAAAAAAAATACCTTTGCCTTTTGGGATGGCTCTCGATCAATATATTTCACCTATTTTCTTCTTCAGTATTTTAATTGAGAATAGCAAAATGCATTTCTCTTACTTTCATCCCTGTTACACATCACCATTCTTTCAGAGCAAAGAAAACAAACGAGTTACTTACCCGATGTCTCAATAGACATCACGCGAGAGAGAGCGAGACCAGACAAAACAACAGCCAACAGACAGATAACGCCTACCAGAGCCATCATCAAGAGCGTCGTCCTCCGCACCGCTTTGACAGATCCCCTGGCTCCTTGTCCATTACCGAGCACCATCGTCATCATCGGATTCGTCGACGAATCTCCCGGTGGCCTACTCTCGATATTACCCGCGAAAGCTTCCTGACTTCCCTTCCCCTCTCCCCCTTGGTCATCCCCTCCTCCTCCCAGACGAGAGAATTTGAATCCGGTATCCGCCATTATTTCCCGCCAGCGATCGCGACACAAATTACTCGGATTACAACTTGCCGTCTGTTGCTGGACTCAACGTTATCATAGGAGCACAAAATGATATCCAACGGCAAGCACGTACATCGGATCTATATACCAATATCTGACACACAGATCGACAGGCATGCATCCGCAGTTCTCATTCCAATCACCACGAGTACTGTTTGCTGTTGCACATGCCTGTAGGGCGTTATTATACAGAACGCTGTTGATATAATTTCAATAACAGGGGATGTATAGAAATTGGAGAACAGAATGCAGTCAACAGTGGACGATTGTCCTTTGGACGATGAAGGGCACGCGGGAGAGTGTTCAAGCGTCAAATAAAATATGGATGACTCATTACTGGGCCAATACATCGCGTGTACGGAATTTCCATCGTAGCATATCAAAAGCATATTTCATTAATTAGGCTTCAGATTATGAATAAGAATTAAACCTCAATGCCTATGTGTTGTGCGATTGGTCGGCATAATGTGTTTATTAAGCTACTCTATTTACTTAAACTCATGTGCATATATTTTCTTTACTTCTTCCTTTGTACTTTGAAGGCATTTTTATATAACGATACCTGAAAAGCAACGAAGGATCAATGATTTACGATGCACATTGGAAAAACGGGATGGGGGGGGGGGGGGCACAGGAATGCAATCATTATACCACCTGACGACTCATGAAGAATGCAATGGTGATCTTTGTTCGCCTTGCTTTTGAAGACTTATGCCCCCGGCCCCCATGTATGCATAAAATCCCTAGATCCACCACTGAAAATAAATTATTATGAACGTTTAACCCGAACTCATAATTAACCAGCGTCGTTGAGTTTCTGAAACATTCGCCGTGATGGAATTTATTTCGGATCGACCTAAAGGCCAATAAAACACATCGAGTAAAGTAATGTTTTCTTTAGCCCTCGATCGTGTCCTTTCCATCGTTGTAGTTTCCTTTGACATTGTAAAATAAGTTCAGTCAAAAGGTTAAAGGTAATACAAAGTTTTGGGAAATATCGAAAATTGGGTCGAAAGTGATTCTTTACAATTTTGATATATATGGATGCCCCTGTGGATGTATTATAATCACTACAAAATTTAGCTCCTAAAACATTTCGGCTTTCGAGAAAAATTGAATATAAAAATTTACCGGTGCTCCCGGTAAATTTTGATAAATTTCAAATAGCGCCTACGGCCGTACAATGGTAGATGCGACCACGAAAATGTCAGAATAGGTAGTTGTGATATATAATTTTCAAACGCGAATAGCTAATTGGTCGATTTAAGTCAAGAAACATTGTTTTATAGCTTAATTAATATATTGACCTTGAGAGGGAGCTATACAACATAAAGAGCTTATTATTTACAATGTCATAACTCTAGACTCGATTTCAACCGCGACAACGATCACTGAATATTGTAGAATCGCATATGCTTCCAATATGTTCATTTGAACCAAATTCATGACCCCATACCAAAACTTTGTATTACCTTTAACAGTCGGGTCTATTTCTTGAGGACATGCGTTTTGAATGAATTTATTTAGGCGTCATAATTACTGGTTGTCAAAATATCCAGTAGCGTATCCACAAATAGATTTTAAAACGGAGCAGAATCGTGCCCGCGGTGTAGCGTAAAGACCCATTAACCTCTTCTTTCAAAGGTGGGGTGGATGCGGTACACCAGCCTTTCACCATTATGGAGACTAGGATACGCCACTATAAAGGAAAAACAAAAACGCAATTAAAGAGTAAGATGGGGTCATGAAATCATGGAATATAGGGAATAGTATGTGTATGTGTGTGGGAGGGGTGTGTGGAAGGGGGTGGGTGGGGAGGGGGAGGGGTCTGTCTGGTTTGTAATACAAGTGTAATGTGGAACATGTTAGATGCGCACGTCCGAAAGCATGAAATCACCCTGACGATGTGATGATGTACGATTCCCCGATCTGAAGCTTCCCAACTATTGAGCGCGGGGAATCCCCATTTGTTCGCGACCGGATGATGCTATTCAGATTTTGAAAGAAAGGTATAAGGAGATTTTAGAGATGGAGACCCAACTGGTAACAAATTATTCAAAACAGCTGCCGTTTTCTATGGTTGCACACTAGAATGTACTGGTGTGCTGTAAACTTTGATGTCCGAGGTTCGAAGCCGCCTCATTGGAAAGCTTGAGTAGTGATTTTTGTCACAAAGAAATATCCTTAATATTTCACTTTTTATTTGAACTAACAAGGGGAAAATCGAACAGATGGTAAAATATGAATACAAAAGCCTACTTATGTCAGGAAATTTGCTTACATTGTATGATAGCAGCTTTAATTTGTGAAAAATAGTAAAAATTCACAGTCCTATAAGACCTGCCGAAGACCTGCCATTTGACCGCACTTTTCCGAATACTTGCGGCTCACGAAAATAAAAAGTGAATATGTTCATGTACAGTTCTTTGTGATGTTATATGTCAGATTAGTGCCCACACATGCCCAGTCGAGTAATTGTGATTAATATTTCAGAAAAATTTGCTCCATTTCCTTTCGCTTGCCTCCGGTAAAGGTAGGCACTGTATTGCTCGTATCATCAGACGAGTGGTATTACAAAAGAATATTTCCATTTGAAAGTGGCCCGTTAGTTCGCAGCTATAGGCAGGAATCTTTTGTCTACGTATCTGCAAGGAAGATCCAGTTAAGCACATGCCTGACCAGGCGCGGATCCAGGATTTCTTAGGGGGGGGGGGGGCCCAAATTTGAAATTATGCGAGCCAAATATTGGTACGTAATGGTGACCAGCAGTGACGTAATGCAGGGGGATGTAGGGAGGGGCGAGTTTCCCCCTCCCTCCTCTGCAAAGCGCGGAAGCTATAAAATTAATGACGTACTTCACATTGATTTATCTTATCGATTTAAGCGAAACGATTTGCTTTAGTATCATAATACTATAACAGTAATGACTAGTATGGTTTTCCTGAAAATTGCATTATACAATGTATATTCATCGTTATGGAAAATGTTGTATAATATACAACAATGGGCATTAACATTTTCCAGACCATTGATTTAATTACGTTTAATATTGAAACTGTTGCCCTTTGTATATACATGAACTTGAAATAATAAGTAGCCTTGAAAGTGTCGCAATAAATCATGTGTGAGTGAGCTTGAAGTTTAATGGTGTAGGTTTGTTTGAAACTGTATAGCCTTTACTCTGTTTTTAATGAGATATATCTTCAATCAAATCAAATCAAACTGAGTGATGTTATCGTACAACTAAACAATATCAATCTTCTGTTCTCCTAAATAAGCCTGGGAAACTTGAAAATTGCATTACAATGTGAATTCATTGTCAGTGAAAATGTAATACAATACACAACAATGGGCAAATAATTGTTTCCAGACCAATGATTTAAGTAAGAAGAACTTACATTTTATATTGAAACTGTTGCCGTTGTATATACATCAGGCGCGGATCCAGGATTTCTTAGGGGGGGGGGGGGGGCAAAATTTGAAATTATGCGAGCCAAATATTGGTTCGTAATGGTGACCAGCAGTGACGTAATTGGGGGTGGGTGGATGCAGGGAGGGGCGAGTTTCCCCCTCCCTCCTCCGCGAAACGCGGAAGCTTTGACAATTCAATAAATTATTAGAGAAAGAAGACGGTTTGTTGTACCGTTCCCAAAAAATAATCCTCGTCTGAATTGAGTTTTCCCCCTCCCGCGCTAAGCGGAAGCTTACGTTTCATTAAATCGTTAGAGAAAGAAGACGATTTGTTGTGTCGTTATCCCCTTTTTTTTCTTTTCTTCTTCCTCTTTTTTCCTTTCTCCTCTTTTCCTTTTTTCTTTCCCTTTCCTTCCTTCTCTTTAATTTTTTGATTGGGGGGGGGGGGGCAACAGCCTGGGAGGCAAGTCCTTTTGCCCCCCCCCCCCCGATCTACTTCTTCCCTCTTTTCTTTTCTTCTTCCTCTTTTTTTTTCCCTTTCTCTCCTCTTTCCCTTTCCCTTCTTTCCTTCTCTCTCTCTCCTTTTTTTTTTTTTTTTTTTTTTGCGGGGGGGGGGGGGGGGAGGGGGGGGGGGGAGGGAGAGGGCCAAGGCCCGCTCGGCCTCTCCCCTGGATCCTGACATATTTTCTCATGGCGGCATCGAAGATTGTACAAAGGGAATGAGCTAGATAGGACTCCATCTCTTAAAACTTCTTGGTATATATATAGTGCTTCATTGTGTACATGCTCTTTTGATCGCATTGTACCCGAATGAAACCGAATCTTTTCATGAGATCTGCCTCCTAGGAAAAGGGTCATGCATGTCAATCTGCATGCTGTTAAAAAGACCAAGAATCGCTTACAACTATAATGTACATATCGTGCAAGTAAAATTTGCGATGTTTTAATTCGATGCACACAAATTAAAGGTATTAATAGGTATGACACACGAGACTTAATCCCGGAGGATGGATTGAATTCCTAGGATCTTGTTAGTAAGTGAATTCAGGCCCACTTAAAGTTAAAGGAAATGGTGTTTAAAATTACTTTGAGCGTTTCTTCCTCATTGATTTCCTTAAAATGCTAATCTTTGTGGGAAAAGATATAGACGGATGTGAGGCACTTCCTTACGATGGGTGTAGATAGGGAAGGGCATAACATATTTGACAATTAAAGTACCAATGGTATCATAAACATATTTAAACATTTCTTAATTTCCAAGGTTGTGATTTGCCAATTAGAGTCTTGTGCGACTATATTTACAAAATCTGCCAATTCAATCCTTGCCTTTTTATTTCTTTTTGAAATTTCTTATGGATTTAAACTTTCATCTATTTTACAATTGCCTATTGCCAGTCAAGGCCTTTATCTGGATATTAAGTTGAGAAATAACAAATTACATGAACTAGAAAATAATGACTAATTTTTATATGAAACTTGAAAATATATGTTTTTCTATACATTTTATACAGAAGTTCTAAAAACTCTCCATTTTCAGGCCGATATGAGGTCATAAAAGGTCACTGAACTCCAAAACGGTACACCTGTTTGTAGAGAACACTAGTTTAAAATCAATCCCGAAAGTTCCTGAGGGGGAGGTTAAAGGTACCATGGCTCCAATGTATTTAGTGGTGTTTTAAAATTCATATACACTGCCATTTGATAGGAAAAGAGGAATTTGTAAGGATCTTTTATTCAGTTTATATGGAGGGTTGATTTTATTTCCTCAACATCAATTTGATTAAAGAAACCAGCTTTACTCAAGTTTTGCAAAGCTAAGACTTCCCTTTAAAGATATGGAGAGCAACGGAAGACAGACTTAAAAGACATCCACTAAGAGACAATCTATGGATTTTGTTTCTCACCATTCAGTAATCCAGTTAAGCGTAATTACCTTCTTCCTGTGAACCATACTCTCTTTCAATAATCTTGCAAACACTTTTATTTGTTCATCATATTGTTCTTTTACTTTCCTTTATCTCTATGATTCACTCACTCCTTCTCTCTCTCTTGTTTTTTCTCTTTAGCTTGTACTCTCTGCAATTCATTACTATTTTCCCCAGTGTATTCCCATTGTTTCATTTCAAGATCGATAAAATGACCAATTGTATAACGCTCTTAAAGGGGAAGTCCGTCCTGGTATTATCTTGGGGAAGTCCGTCCTGGTTTTATCTTGGTTTTATCCTTAGCAGAAAATTGAGAAAAACAAATTTGCAAGAATTTGATCAATATTCTATCAAAAATTAGGAAATTTATGAATTTTTGAAGTTGTGGTCAGTAAAACACAAATTGGCAACATTGAGACGTGCTCTACTCAAATTTGCTCTGTACAGAATTGTTGTTGTTCTTCTCATTTTATAAGTTATTGATGACTTGACGGGGGTCTTACAAAAACACATTTGCAAAAAGAATATTTAGGGTGAAGGTATAATTACAAATTTTCTTAATAGTAAATACACATTTTAAAAGTTTTTTAGTACAGGGTAAATGGGAGGTGACCTCGCAAGATACGCCACAGAGTTGCCAATTTGTGTCTCATTGATTGCACCTCAAATATTTATTACCGGTACTTTCTTATTTTTAATTGGTTTTTGCTCAAACATTCACTGACCTGTTTCTCTCATTTTTCTGCTTCTATTAAAACCAACTTTATATCAGGGTGAACTTCCCCTTTAAAATCAAGCAAGCAATAAATCTCCATATTCTCTTGAATACATTAAAAGTTTTTATTTCAGGTGCGGACACCAACATTACTCTCACAGACAATATGCAAAATGGCAAGAAAATGCAGGAAACATAAATATTACTCATTACCATCTACATTGAATACTTTTTATAACTGTCATTTTCATTACCACTTCATGATAGGACCTACATCCCCCAAAGATTTGGTGAGCTGCACATACTCTAAAAAAATTAAAGTAATTTAGCTCTTTAAAAGTTCTCTGGTCTAAAACACAGACCATTCAAAAGATCAAGAGAGAGAGATAAAGAGAGAGAGAAAGAAAAGGGGGTGAATTAGGGAGGGGTAAAATAAAATCTATGCTATATGACAAGAACAAAATCTAATTACAACTTTGAAAACTTTGAGTTTGCATGGGGGCGTAATTATATAATAACTTATAGAAACTGTCAAAATGAAGTTTTGGGGGATTCCCGAGTGTATTCATCTTATAAAGCATTGAGAGCTGAGGTTGTGATGTAACATCAAATCGCATCAAGTTGAACCAAGATCAAACAGATTTAACCAATCAATAACTTATTGATTGAATTAAGAAATCAAGTCAATGATCATCCATGGCAAGAGGACAGAACGTTCAGTCTCCAAATGTATCTTCGGCCAGTGATTGCCTTTCTCTTGATATCCTGACAGCTTCTGCTGCTAACCCTTGCATGAATGGTATAGCCATGGGCTGCTGTCTCCATTGACACACCCCCTCTCTATCTCCACTCTCTGAACCATGTCCTTTAGAGTCCAAACTCTTCTTCTCTTCAGGATCACAATAGTTCTGGTCAGACGTTACAAGAGAAGCTTGGCCACTTTCATGGGAAGCTGCAATGGAGTCCGATCCAAGAGGTGCCACGTTTCCATCGCTTGAAGGATTGAGTCTTTTGCCGATGTTTTTTCTTGGCTTTGGAACTGGCCTTCTTATTGTTGTCTCTGTACTCCTTCCAATACCTGAGGCATCATATCCTTCACCACTTCCAGAAGAACCAACACCCTGGCAACCAATCTGTGACATTTGATGGCGAAGAACTTGGTCATCACTTCTTTGGTCATCATATTTTCATCGTCCCTATTGTCGGCGACTTCTAGTAATTTTGTTTCAGATGAGGAGTCCTCGGTACAATTGATATCATTTGATAGTTGTTGAGGGTTGGCTTTACCTATATGCCTCTCATTGTGCTCATGATGTTCATGGGATAATGTCCGTTCATGGTCTAAATCAGTTAAACCGCTCTCTAACTCACTCAACGAACCATCACAAGTTACAGGGATGTTTGTCTTTCCATCTCCAATTGTCTTGTCGTCATTCGTACTATCTACCGCTCCTTCACTCAGTTCACCAAGTGTTTCTGTTTCTTTGACTAAATCACCTCCTTCCTTCATTCTTCTCCTCTCCCTTCTCATCTTCTCTTTTTCCCCTTCTCTTTTGGTCAGCACCGAGTTGAGTTCCATCAGCATGTGTTTAGCATCTTCAGAATCTTGCTTCTTCTTTCTCTGGAAGAAGACAAAAATAAAGAGAGTTAAATGAAACAAGAGATATGTTATAGCTTTAATGTTATTAAATTTTGACATCAATTGTGCCAGGAAGGGGAAAAGTCAACTGAACCAGTGTGACACTCAGGTCTTTCCTCCCAGTATAACTGACAAGGGATATGCATGTGGACCACTCAACCAGGGTTTTCCCTTGTTTTACACAGTGTAAACAACACCCAGAATTTGAACTTATGATTTGTGTACATGGGGAATATTGTTTCTAAATCTTTGACAAGACAATTCACTGGAGAAAAGAAACAATTTATTGGGGTAATTCTCCTCTGTTTTGTAACAAAAACTGATACATTTCAATGGTTGAATTTATATGCAATATATATTATCAAGGGACAGTTTAATAGTATAATGACATAATGAATGATTAATTCAACTTTAATAATAGATATCATTTGGATCATACACAAGAGTAGCTTACCCTTTCTTCAATCAAATCCTCCATGCTGTAATCTGGTATGTTATCATCTCTCTCTGGATCAATGTAAGCCTCAAACACCTGCAGGATGGAGATATATAGGTCACGGGGAGGAGAGAAGAATAAATATCAAAATGAAAAAAAGGCAGAGTACAAGAAAGTAATTTGTTGGGACATAAGTGTAGGCAGATACAAGAAAAGAGATGGAGAAAAAGTGGGAAATGAATGATACAAAAATAAAGCTATTTAGATAAAGATATACGGACAGCACTCAAGTCATTTTTTACTACCGGTAATATCTACTTAGACATAAATAAACCAGTCTACGGAACAATGCACCATTAACAGAAAGTTTTGTGTATTAAACTGATTTGCTTTTCATTAGATCTCTATCACTGTGTTCAATCAAGTTGTCAAGCTAACTGTAATAGGAAAGGAGAAGCAGAGTATACTTATGAGAGATGTTATGTATAGCTGTAACCATGGTGAAGTACTGATTGAGCAGTAATTACCGGTAATTACAAAAGGAACAAAGATCATGCTCACCTCCTCTTCAATGAAGTCAATATCCGAGTCCTTGGGTGATATGAAGTCTAGATGCTGGGGTGTTGGTATGTCAGCTTTCAATTGCCCAGTCTCTGGCTTGCTCATTACTGAAGAGATCAAGCCAAGAAGAAGACAAGGAAGAGGAGAAAGTGAGGAGAGATAGAAGGAAGAATGGTGAGAAAAATGCATCTAAATGTTAAAATACATAATACCACATAACTCTTGAAATTCATTCAGATTACTGTAATGCACATTCTAAAAACAGCTTATTTTGTATAATAATTACACAATGAAGGGAAACATTGATACTTTTTAAAATTGTTCTATCACAACAAAAGGAAATTGCATGGCATATACCAGAATTTCATATTTTTCCCCTTTCTACTGATTTCTATTTACCAGGTATGTAGTAAATTTTGAGGGAGGGCTGTGTGCTGTAACATTCATAGAGCTAAGAGATATAGTTTGTTTTCCTGAATGCATTTTGAAAGTTAGCAATAGAGAACAAAACTACTCCAAATATTCCATCAAATTATTTTTTCTTCAAAAAGGAAAAGACCATATTGCATAAGCATATCTGCCACTTTATCTATATTACATTATTACAATACATGGGCCCCATCTAGGGACCATATAAAACACTCTCATATTTTTGTAGTATTTTATTTATTTTCATTAAAGTAAGCAATCAAATCTTACCAGGTTCTTTGAGCTTTGCTGGCTCCACTCGACCTGTTAGTTTGGCAAGGGCTGTCTCGGCTTCATGTACACAAGTTTGGCACGCCTCCAAATGACCTTTGACCTCTGAAAGTAACTCTTCAAGATCATGTATCTCTGGGTCCCCCAGGTCGGACTTGCCATCCTCCTTACGTGTTCCCATTTCTAACTGCATTGCACTGGAAGGATAGCAAAGTGCATGTTTATTGAGCTCATATTGCAATTATGTTTGGTTAAGCTGAAGGGTCTAAAGTGGTACAGAATGTTTCTTTCTTTCTTATTTGGTTTTTTGTTTTCACACTGAGCAGTTGTTTTCAAAGACACTCACTACATCTATTAAAAGAAATCTACAAGAATGTACTTTCCAACATGATATAGTATCATTTGATCTGTTACAATCAACATCTACAGAGAGATAACATATCATAGTTGCCTATTTCTATTACTACATCAAATAATGAAATACCTCACTTGATACATTATGTAGGGGGCATGATGGTTCAGTGGGAGAGCAGAAGTCTAGTAGGGGAAGGTCACAGGTTCAAAAACAAGTTGATGCACTTGCCCCCTTAAAATCAGACTTAAAGACAATAGATCGTCAAGTTTTATCTGAAAGCCTATACAGTGTGAGTCAAAAAAAAGTTTACACCTAGAAAATTGATAACTATTTAAAAAATCATCGATGAACATTAAATCGTTATATGTCTTATGAAAGAGTGTCTTACCCAAATCATTTGGTACCATTTTTGTGTGGTATGTGTTCACGCTTGGATGAACAGCAGACATTATTTGCGAGATTGCAAAAATCGACTTGCGCCAAAGTTGCCTATGTGATGTTTGAATAAAACAATTGGGATTTTATTAATTTGGTCTTTGCAGATCCAAATAACATCCCTAACAAAATTAATCATGCTACACATATCAAATATCGACTATCAAATATCAACAAATATTTGTGCGCATGTGTGTGGGTGTGTGTGACTTTGCCCTTTGCAAAAAACATTCAATTCATTCTCTCACTCCGCTAATCCCAACATAATAGATACTGTAGGCATCACTTTGGTGCAAGTCAATTTTTGCACTCTCGCAAACAATGCCACCTGTTCATCCAAGCGTGAACACATACCACACAAAAATGATACCAAATGATTTGGGATAAAACACTTTTTCATAAGATGTATAATAATTTACTGTTCATAGATGATTTTAAAGATAATTAGCAATTTTCTAGGTGTAAACTTTTTTTGACTCACATGGTATATACTTGCTTTCTTAGCTGTCAAGTACATAAAAAGATTATCATCGTCATCAATGTGACAGACACCTGATCAGCCTATGCAAAAGAACAAAAGTCATCAATCTTCTACCTTTTCATAGTGACATCTAGATGCAATCTCAGAGCTCGAGTTGCAGAAGGAAGGACATCGGAGGGCCCCCAAATCTCTTCCGTCCCACGCATCTTGACCTCGGGATCAACGCCCGATTGGAGGGGTGTCATTGGCTGATGAATCTTGTACGAGCTCTTCAGGGTGGTAAGATCTTGCTCAGCTAACCTCCTCTTAGCGTCAAGTAGTGAATGCGAGCTTGAGGTTGCATCTATGGGCAATGCAAAGAATGACAAGAGTTACCGTAAATCTTTGTGTATAAGACGCACAGTTTTGCCACCAAAAAAAATTCAAAGTCTGGGGGTGCGTCTTATACACAGGTACAAAAAAAAAAGCTCAGTAATTGGTGTGTTGACTCACCACTCGGAAACTAGAACAACACTCAAATTTTTCCGTCATCTTGGTTTGAAAGAAATCTTTAGATAGATCTCAATATGTACCGGTAGTTTATAATAACAATTATATACCTCACTTAAGAAATCCAGCCATCTGATTGGTCGAAATTGCATTCATAAACTTTAACTATTCCTGTAAAATTCCCGGTAAAATTCCAAACCCATGTAATAGTTCAAAAAAATAGTTCTAAAATCCCAGTTACCATGGTTACAGGGAAAATAGTTCTAAAATCTCAGTAACCATGGTTACCCATAGGTTTACATGTTAAAAAATGGTTTGAGCGATCGTGGATACCGTACGTGTGCGAAGAATTGGTCGGCATTTTTAGTACGGCAATATATCTTGATTCAAACAAGGCAAAAATGGCTGTAGAAACTCTCCCAAGATTTCAACTTCTGGATGAGGATCAAATGCGAGACATGCTGACAGCAAGAACACCGAAAAGGGTACGTGAAATCTTCTATAATTTGTTTTCAGTAGGCCTAGACCTAGATTCTAGTAGAGTCTACGTGACAACCAGATGCTGGTGATTGTAGTGATTTGTACGTCACGGATAGATGCAGATCCTTCCCGTAGAGATTACACACATCCCTATGCATTTCCATTGGCCATTGCGCACTCGATCATGCTAGATTGGTCGATGTTTTAATTACCAGAGGATTCAAACTAATATTGCTCGTGATCCTGAAGGTGATACTCAATAAGTGAGGTACATATGAAAGCGCAGGCCCACCCCTAAAATTGTAAAAATATCTTGCTTAGACTAGAATCTAGATCTAGTCTACTCTCAAAGAAACACTCATAAAAAACAACCGTGCAGATAAACTAGAGAAAGGCCAAGGTGGTGTCATAATTTTTTTGGCATATAAAAGTATTAATGACTGCTTTAATATTTGAGAAATAGTTGTTTTTCTCAAAGTAGTCATTAATACTATATAATTCCTCCAATTTTTCTTCTATTACACACGGCTTACCATAAGGTTCTATCCTAGGTCCTCTACTGTTTTTTAATTTACATTAATGATCTTACACATTCAACTGCACCTCGCAGTTAAATGAAAGTCCTTCCGCGTGGGTTTTTTAACACGGACCTGGCTTGCTGCCAAAATTAGTATCTACAGGGGGTGCGTCTTATACACAGGTGCGTCTTATACACAGAGATTTACGGTAGCTGTGTTCAAACCACACTCACTTGTGCTATATCTATCTTTTGATATCATATATCTTGAGTCTGAAGTTAGACATACTGAATACCAACTTCTCTCAGATACATACGGCTCTTGACTCAGGCCCTTAAAAGTTCAATATATTCTGATTCTAATTTCACACACACACAAAAATCAGAAGTTGTTACTACTTCATCTACAGTTCATGGCATAGCACTATTTGAAATACTTTTTGAAAACATAAGTAAAGTTTCCAGACCATCCTTACGAACTGAATATCTATTTCACACGTCTATATCGTGTAACAAGGTACATCTGGAGAACTCTTTTTTCTTTCTGGAAAAAGTTCTTGTCTTTCAAAATGATAACCATGGTATTCAAGCAAACAACTCCACTACAATAAAAAAAATTTAAAAAATGCGTGGACATACCTGCAGAATCGGCTAATAGATCAGACTTTAGACACATGAGATGTCTTCTGATAAACTCAGATAACTGATCACTGTATAAGTTGGATATAGCCTACAAGAAAAACAGACAGAAATATAGATTATTGTCCACCTATTAATTCACATTGAATTTACAGAGAACTTACTTGAATATCAACAATTTGGTCAGATATATAATAAACTTATTTCTTGATGTATCCTTTTGTTCATGGTAACTATGAGCAGAAAGAATGATTTTTTTAATTTTGCTGCAAGATCATTTTTTTTCTTCAATTGTGTTTGCTAGTTTGTTTTGTATCTATAATTGTATTCTACTAATACCAAAACTGTGATATCTACTCATTACAAACTACAATTATACATGAAAAAGATAGCACATTTCAAAAGAACTCTACTCTACACTCGTACACATGTAATGAAAATATTTCAGACTAATGATATTTACCTTCAAATAAGAGGTGGGGTATGGTCCTGTAGAGTCCTGAAAAGAGCAAGAAATGAATGGTAGATTATAGGATTTACATGTAACTTGATTGTAAATGTTCCATCACTCAACACATTTGAGGTGAACATCTAAGCATAAATAATTTTTTCATTGAGAATACATAAATTTCTCAAACCTCTTAAAATAAAAACCTGAATATATGGAGGTTATTAAATTCTGGCAACATACACCACATAAAAATAATTCATGCTTGAGTTCTAAAAAATGACTAGAAATTTAACAAACTCAAACCAAACACACATTGATCTTTAAGACTACAAATAGATACCATACAGAGTATTACATGAATAATCTGGGTAATGAGCAAGGACAGATAAGGAAATAGATAAGTAACCCAGTTGTCCCAACCAAGACTCGAGCAATAGAATACTCAGTCCCACATGTGCAAATGTGTGTTGTGCTTGAATATGTGAATTTGATTTTCAGCAAGTTTTTTTTTCTTCATATCTCACGGGTGTTCACCAATCTACTGCCTAATCAAAACTTCAGAATTACTTTAGGCCAGTTCCTCTCAAAATTTAGTCATATAATCTGAACTCAAGAAAAGCTTTGATTTTTTTCTTACATCAGTTAAAATTGACAGTTCCCCTGCCAAGTGTTGTAGATCTGTGGTAGCGAGATAGACGTCTTCTAAGTCTCTCTGTTCTTCATCTCTTAGTGGACTATCAGCTATGGTTGACAGCATGGCTTGCCTCAGAGACAGAAATTGGTTTCTAGCAGCCTGGAAGATAGCCTGTCTAAGGGCAGGGCATTGAAGTTGTGTTTGGCTACCCCTCTCCAGGTGAGATATGGGGGTGAATGGTGTCATCCTAAATTAGGAGAGGAGCACATTTTTTTAAATTTCCCAATGAATTACAGACATGCAGTGTCTTTTACACTGTTAGACAGGTCATTAAAATGAGATTAATATTGTTTGAAACAAAATAGTCTTAGAAACAGAGAACTGCAATCCCAAATATGTTGACTTAATTCAATATCTACTAAAATAGTACATTATGTCGGTGCTCATAAATAAATACTTTTAAGGCTGAAGTGTTTACTAATGTTTACACTGAGCTGACATGTCTGGGTAGTTTCTTATCATTTTCTGACTTTCTTTGATTGACAATAAAATTTGTACTGAAAATCCCCAGTAGGTGAGGATCGCTAATTTAATAAGATTTATCAGGCTCTTTATATAGATAAAGATAGTACACTGATCACTGATTCTCTTGTGATACTTACATTGTATAACCTCTTAAAATGACTTCCACTTCTTGAACATATAGCACAGACTTCTTCAGGAAATTACCAAAAGACTTATGGACGGATAAAAACTGAGACACACTCTGCTCCTGATGACGATTTTCCCTCCACAACCTGAAATACTTATTGAGATAAGACACAGAAAGTGATGCTGAAAACAGGCATAAAAATTGCAACCTAATGATTACAAAAGTTTGGACCACATCAGCTTTGAAAAAGTTACTCTAATAAGGTCAAATATTTCTACTACAGTACAAACAATAATTTTCCTTAAATTCAAATTCATTTTAAACGAAGGGGGGGGGGGGAGCAAATTATTTCATTACTCATGTTGTGGAAACACGTCTTTCTAGTTCAAAAATAAAATCCTTAAAAAACTTTGAACACTTTGAACACTAAAAATGGTCAAAACAGTGAAAACTTCATGTAATACCTATTTTTAGTGACAATATGATTGATAGATTATAAACTTAATGTTTCATGTTAATAATATGAGTAAATGTCTCATATTCCATGATACAATCTTTAACAAATGAGAATTCCATCACATGACATCTCCTTTAATACATCATGTCTAAACAATTCCTGGAAGTGACATATTATTTTTTTTCTTCCACCCCCCCCCCCCCCCAGACCAATTTAAGGCATCAAAGTCTTTTTGTAACACACAAATTATTTTGTGAAGTTTACACTCAAGCGATTAATATTTCTGTACCTGCCATACGACACCCACTTGCCACAGCAGACTGAGAAACAAAGTTGTCATGACAACAGTGTACATGAGGATGTTTGGAATGTTGAAAGCGTCCACAGCATCCCAAAGTAATGTTGGATGACAGACACCACATAGGAGCATGATATGACTGAACATAAGAAGACCAAGGCTGAATAGGATGCAAAAACATAAATATCAGATGTTAACATCAAAAGGATAATGACAGTTCACTACTGTTTCATTTCCAGCAAAGCTTGTGCAACTTATACACACAATTAACAGCCTTTTCCCCAAGAAGTAATGACAAAATGTTTTACTAAATCTTAACCTATTCTAAGATGGGAGGAGGGACATGTCAATGCACTATCAAACAATTAAAAAGCATCAAAATCTGATAATTTGATGGAAATTATAATTATGATTAGAATGCTTTTTACTGCATATGCCATTTATACATAGCTCAAGTTATATTCTTATAACACATTAAATATCTGCGGTTTTCATACATTACATCTGTATGGAGCAAGAAGTGCATTTACTCCTACACTTTAACACAGAATTAAATCCCTTCCGGCTTTAAACCGCCAATAATACAGTTTACATAGGGATAGGATACTTACATGAATAACCAGAGACTAATCTTTGTCCCAGATAACTTGGAAGTCGTTTCTGAAACACCAAGTAATGTAGACAATACGGTTGCATCTTCTTCATTTACGCACTTGCTTATCAAGGCAAGAGTGTAGTACTTGGGAAGTCCATGGTTATTCTGTAAGAAAAAACAAAAACACAATGATACAGAATTTAATACATATACTGCATATACCTTATAATCAATAATAATAAATACAATTCCTACACATTGATTGCCGTAATCTTTTGATGTAGATCAAAATACATGGGACATTCTTGTTTTTCTACATTCGCAGGACAGAGACCATCATCACTCTGATATCTAATCATCCAAGTGATACTTGGTTTTGTTTTTTTGAAAATTTGAATTATGACTTACTACAAGCAGGATACAGTGAGATATAGCAAACATTTCTTGAGAAACAATATTCTTTCAAATGACTAACAATATGCTTCACACAGCTCTACATCACAAAAGAATCATCATCTTAGTCTTACCTCTTGATATCTAGAGAGCTTCAATAGTCAATGTAATCTCTGATATTTGTTTTTCTTCATTTGTTTTACATTTGTTTATAGTCAAAGTTTTCCAAATTCACTGCTTATATAATATATATTCATTTTCTTCTATGTATTTTTATTATGTTTTTGCAGTATGAATATCAAAGGTGACTTTGAAAGAGACTTACTAAGTATGCTAAAAACTCTTTTCTGTCGACTGGAAACAAACTTCCATGGGTAATTCTGGTGGTCCAAATCTGTAAGAGATACGACAGGGTAAGAAAGTGCAAATGAAAAATCATTACCCATGGCATATTTCATCAGGACACACTTTAAAAAAAGAATTTGAGGTTTATACTGAAAGATCAACAAAAATTATTCGAAGGGGATCCAGATTTAACCAGAGTCTTTATAATGCATGAGCCCTATGTAAAATGTTTGAAATGTTGGGGTCATGACCTAGATTTTGGGCACCCCTGTGTTGAAGGTACCTGTTAGTGTCGAGCCCTGCTATGGGTAATATAACATTTAAACTCTCTGTTAAAAGAAAGAATGATAACAAATTGCAGTGTACATCATTGGCATTTCTAAAAAAAACTAGATGGAATTTTGACTGCGTGCAGTCGAAAATGATGCCTCCGCCATAGAGCAATTTAAACAAGTTTGGAGTTTAAATCTCCAGTGGTTCTTGAGATATCATGATAACAATCTCAATGTATGGAATTTCATAAGTTGACCTCTGTGACCCTTGACCTTTGACCTACGTGCTCCAAAATCTAATCAGATTGTCTTCCTATGGTGATACACACTATCCTTAAGTTTGAAGTTTAAATCTCCAGTGGTTCTTGAGATAATTATGATATGGTGATACTATAACTATCATTAAGTTTGAAGTGAAAATTCTCCAGTGGTTCTTGAGATATCGCGATAACGATCCCAATGTATGGAATTTCATAAGTTGACCTCTGTGACCCTTGACCTTTGACCTACGTGCTCCAAAATCTAATCAGATTGTCTTCCTATGGTGATACATACTATCCTTAAGTTTGAAGTTTTTACATCTCCAGTGGTTCTTGAGATATCATGATAACAATCTCAAAGTATGGAATTTCATAAGTTGACCTCTATGACCCTTGACCTTTGACCTACGTGCTCCAAAATGTGATCAGATTGTTTTCCTATAGTGATACACACTATCACTAAGTTTGAAGTTTAAATCTCCAGTGGTTCTTGAGATATCATGATAACAATCTCAATGTATGGAATTTCATAAGTTGACCTCTGTGACCCTTGACCTTTAACATTCTTTGCTCCAAAATCTAATCAGATCGTCTTCCTATGGTGATACATACTATCCTTAAGTTTGAAGTTTAAATCTCAAATGGTTCTTGAGATATCGCGCTAACAAACTCAATACAAGGAATTTCATAAGTTGACCTCTGTGACCTGTGACCTTTGACCTACGTACTCCAAAATCTAATCAGATCGTCTTCCTATGGTGATAAATACTATTCCCGAGTCTTAAGTTTAAATCTTAAATGGTTCTTGAGGTATTGTGATAACGGTCAAACGGGACGGACGTACGGACGGACAACCCGAAAACATGATGCCTCCGGCACAACCTTCGGTGGCGGAGGCATAAAAATTATATTTTCCTCCAAAATGCTGAACCACCCCGGCCCTTACCATTTCGGCCCGAAATTGGTGTTCATTCAAATTATCACGATATTTGCCACTACGCCCCTTTCAAAGGATATGGGGGTCAGAATCCATTTAATTGCATGTAGGTACATTAATTGTGGGGAAACCAGCCTATTTAAAAAAAATTATATTTTCCTCCAAACTGCTGAACCACCCCGGCTCTTACAATTTCGGCCCGAAAGTTGTGATAATTCAAATTTTTACAATATTTGCCACTACGCCCCTCTCGAAGGGATATGGGGGTCGGAATCCATTTAATTGCATGTAGGTACATTTATTGTGGGGAAACTAGCCTATTCAAAAAACATAATATTTTCCTCCAAAATGCTGAACCACCCAGGCCTTAACCATTTCGGCCTGAAATTGGTGTTTATACAAATTATCACAATATTTGCCCCTACGCCCCTTTCAAAGGGATATGGGGGTCAGGATCCATCTAATGGCATGTATGGACATTCATTGTGGGGAAACTAGCCTACTAAAAAAAATATAATATTTTCCTCCAAAATGCTGAAACACCCCGGACCTTCTAATTTCGGCCCGAAAGTTGTGATAATTCAAATTTTTACAATATTTGCCCCTACGCTTCTTTCAAAGGGATATGGGGGTCAGAATGCATCTAATGGCATGTATGTACATTCATTGTGGGGAAACTAGCCTATTAAAAAAAAATTATATTTTCCTCCAAAATGCTGAACCACCCCGGCCCTTCCAATTTCGGCCCGAAAGTTCTGATAATTCAAATTTTTACAATATTTGCCACTACGCCCCTTTCTAAGGGATATGGGGGTCAGGATCCATCTAATGGCATGTAGGTACATTCATTGTGGGGAAACTAGCCTATTAAAAAAAACAATATTTTCCTCCACAATCCTGAACCACCCCGGCCCTTCCAATTTCGGCCCGAAAGTTGTGATAATTCAAATTTTTACAATATTTGCCACTACGCCCCTTTCAAAGGGATATGGGGGTCAGGATTCATCTAATGGCATGTATGGACATTCATTGTGGGGAAAATAGCCTATTAAAAAAAAACAATATTTTCCTCCAAAATGCTGAACCACCCCGGCCCTTACAATTTCGGCCCGAAATTGGTGTTTATTCTAATTATCACAATATTTGCCCCTACGCCCCTTTCAAAGGGATATGGGGGTCAGGATCCATCTAATGGCATGAATGTACATTCATTGTGGGGAAACTAGCCTATTAAAAAAAAAAAAATTTCCTTCAAAATGCTGAACCACCCCGGCCCTTCCAATTTCGGCCCGAAAGTTGTGATAATTCAAATTTTTTCAACAATTGGCCACTACGCCCATATAAAAGGGATATGGGGGTCAGGATCCATTTAATTGCATGTAGGTACATTCATTGTGGGGAAACTAGCCTATTAAAAAAATATGATATTTTCCTCCAAAATGCTGAACCACCCCGGCCCTTACCATTTCGGCCTGAAATTGGTGTTTATTCAAATTATCACAATATTTGCCCCTACACCCCTTTTAAAGGGATATGGGGGTCAGGATCCATCTAATTGCATGTAGGTACATTCATTGTGGGGAAACTAGCCTATTCAAAAAAATATATATTTTCCTCCAAAATGCTGAACCACCCCGGCCCTTACAATTTCGGCCCGAAAGTTCCGATAATTCAAATTTTTACAATATTTGCCACTACGCCCCTTTCAAAGGGATATGGGGGTCAGGATCCATCTAATGGCATGTAGGTACATTCATTGTGGGGAAACAAGCCTAATCAAAAAATATAATTTTTTCCTTCAAAATGCTGAACCACCCCGGCCCTTACAATTTCGGCCAAAAAGTTGTGATAATTCAAATTTTTACAATATTTGCCACTACGCCCCTTTAAAAGGGATATGGGGGTCAGAATCCAGTAAATTGCATGTAGGTACATTCATTGTGGGGAAACTAGCCTATTAAAAAAATATAATATTTTCCTCCAAAATGCTGAACCACCCCGGCCCTTACATTTTCGGCCCGAAAGTTCCGATAATTCAAATTTTTACAATATTTGCCACTACGCCCCTTTCAAAGGGATATGGGGGTCAGAATCCATCTAATGGCATGCATGTACATTCATTGTGGGGAAACTAGCCTATTCAAAAAAATATGATATTTTCCTCCAAAATGCTGAACCACCCCGGCCCTTACCATTTCGGCCTGAAATTGGTGTTTATCCAAATTATCACAATATTTGCCCCTACGCCCCTTTTAAAGGGATATGGGGGTCAGGATCCATCTAATTGCATGTAGGTACATTTAGTGTGGGGAAACTAGCCTATTCAAAAAATATAATATTTTCCTCCAAAATGCTGAACCACCCCGGCCCTTACATTTTCGGCCCGAAAGTTCCGATAATTCAAATTTTTACAATATTTGCCACTACGCCCCTTTCAAAGGGATATGGGGGTCAGGATCCATCTAATTGCATGTAGGTACATTCATTGTGGGGAAACTAGCCTAATCAAAAAATATAATTTTTTCCTTCAAAATGCTGAACCACCCCGGCCCTTACAATTTCGGCCAAAAAGTTGTGATAATTCAAATTTTTACAATATTTGCCACTACGCCCCTTTAAAAGGGATATGGGGGTCAGAATCCAGTAAATTGCATGTAGGTACATTCATTGTGGGGAAACTAGCCTATTAAAAAAAAATTATTTTTTCCTTCAAAATGCTGAACCACCCCGGCCCTTACAATTTCGGCCAAAAAGTTGTGATAATTCAAATTTTTACAATATTTGCCACTACGCCCCTTTAAAAGGGATATGGGGGTCAGAATTCAGTAAATTGCAAGTAGGTACATTCAATTTGGGGAAACTAGCCTATTAAAAAAATATGATATTTTCCTCCAAAATGCTGAACCACCCCGGCCCTTACCATTTCGGCCTGAAATTGGTGTTTATTCAAATTATCACAATATTTGCCCCTACGCCCCTTTTAAAGGGATATGGGGGTCAGGATCCATCTAATTGCATGTAGGTACATTTAGTGTGGGGAAACTAGCCTATTAAAAAAAAAAAAATTTTCCTTCAAAATGCTGAACCACCCCGGCCCTTACAATTTCGGCCAAAAAGTTGTGATAATTCAAATTTTTACAATATTTGCCACCACGCCCCTTTAAAAGGAATATGGGGGTCAGAATCCAGTAAATTGCATGTAGGTACATTCATTGTGGGGAAACTAGCCTATTCAAAAAAATATATTTTTCCTCCAAAATGCTGAACCACCCCGGCCCTTACAATTTCGGCCCGAAAGTTCCGATAATTCAAATTTTTACAATATTTGCCACTACGCCCCTTTCAAAGGGATATGGGGGTCAGGATCCATCTAATGGCATGTAGGTACATTCATTGTGGGGAAACAAGCCTAATCAAAAAATATAATTTTTTCCTTCAAAATGCTGAACCACCCCGGCCCTTACAATTTCGGCCAAAAAGTTGTGATAATTCAAATTTTTACAATATTTGCCACTACGCCCCTTTAAAAGGGATATGGGGGTCAGAATCCAGTAAATTGCATGTAGGTACATTCATTGTGGGGAAACTAGCCTATTAAAAAAATATAATATTTTCCTCCAAAATG